AATCCTACTCCGATGCGTTCTGCCTACAACAAGTTTGTTTTGTTTCAATATGTTGCATTGAAAGGATCATAATTGCCACAGTAAAGGGAAACGTTGATAGTGTTAACAGGGAAAACTCTAGGACAGTGGTCACCAACCTTTTCTGAGTCAAGATCGCTTTGAGTCAAAATGCAAGCCGAGATCTACCGCTCAGATTTTTTTTTAAACATGGCTTTAAAAAACGTAAGCCTAAGCAACATTAACCAATTAACTACTGTAGCAATGAGGTTTGTGCAGTAAGCCATAGGCCCAATACATTATCACCGCATATTGGCTTTGCTTGAATTGCCCTGCCAATGCATTGTTGTTCGGGTCATTAAAAAAAAGTATATTTCAAAATTTGAGGTAGACTATATGTTCACACCGGTAATAGATCCGTGAAGCACAGCTGAGTGAGCATACATTTAAATAATTTGCTTTTTATTTTTATTTTACGGGGCTGATGGTGCCTGCATCTAATGGTCAGTCTCAGCAGAGGGAGAGAGCAGCAGACTGAGGGTCCGCCTCTCAACATTCCTCAGCTCTCCCTTTCCGACACTGACCAAAAAGGGACACCGTCTTCCAGCTGATGGCGAAACTCCAGTTGCACCGCATTATTTCTGCCTCATGCACAAATTCCTGTTGTTACTCCTATGAATAGAGAAAGTGAAATATTCCTCGATATTAAAAAAGACCCAAGCCGCTAATAATAACAACAACGCAAGCCTATAGATACACTTTCCTACTCATTCATTACTGCTGCAGTGCTTGTTGTAGCACTGAGTGGAAATAGGAAGAATGCGCATGTTATGGCTTATAAAAGTGTTGAATACAAAGTGTTGACAGTGCTGAGAAAGAACTTAAACATGAACTCACTCATAAAAACAGCATCTCTTTGCTGTATTCCTTGACAGTCTCGCTCTAGTCATGGTTCTTTTATGCCTGATATGTTACTGCAGACACGGTCATCTGAGCCATCCGATTGGCCAGCGGTACCCATATAGTGCACTTGATTTGCTCTCTGCGCCCGCCTGGAAGGCAAAGTTTGTACCTTCCGACATATTAAAATGTTCAAAATGGCAACAGTTAGCCTACCAAGCGTGCAGGGCAGCTGAATCGGTTGCACCATACGCCAGTATATATATAATATATATATAATATAAAAAAAAAAAAATAATATATTAAATATATATAATATATATATTATATTTATATATATAATATATTATATAATATTGTTTTTTTTTTTTTTTTTTTTTTTTTTTTAACAATAGGAATACAAGGCTTTATCGTTTTTTACAGAAATGTTTGGCGATGGTCTAGGAATGCCTTGGAGATCGACCAGTTGATCGCGATCAACTGGTTGGTGACCACTGCTCTAGAAAGTTAAGTGAAGTTCAATCTCGTGCTTTCTCTCTGTGGGCTGATATTTCTGCCCAGCAGTCTCGGGGCTACTGCGCGTGCAGTTAAGAGGGAACATTATTATTATTATTATATATTTTTTTTTATGTTTAAAAAAAAATTTTATTTAGGGAACATTGCTCTTCACTCATGCAGTTTACTCTTTTATCCATTATATGGTTAATTTGAATGTATCTATGCACACTATCTCAGCCAATCATAGCTTAGCTGTTCATGCATCTCACTCCTTGAGCCAGAGTGAGATCGCTTACTGAGGGTGTCCAAGTGTCTCCAAGTTTTCTACTACTGTTATGTGTGCGTTCAGATACTAGTGAGTATTGTTTGAGGTTATATCGTAATTATATTGAAAGCCCGAGTGTTAATTGTCATTAGTAGTATTAATGTCACCTTTATCTGTAATGGTAGATTGCTAGCCTAGCTGTTGTTAGCCTGCTATGGCTTCTCTATTATGTTTGTATAGGTCCAAAGCCTAATATTAGGTCACATTGTTTCCTCATGTATATTAGCTATGTTGTTAATACTTAGTTGTGACATTATGTTGTGCAAATGCAGCGGCATTGCTTTGTTAGTGCTACAGCTAAGTGTAATATGCTACATCATGCTAGTGTGCATGCCTTTGCCTCATGGCCCCAGTGTGGTTGTGCATGCAGGAGCACACCCTATTTTGTTAATTTACATGTGAAGCCTGTATGTACCAGCCTGGTTGTTTAGCCCTGTTAATGGTACTGTTTATGTCCACAGTGGTTATAGCTGTATTATCTCCTGTAACTGTATTATTAATATTTCTGTATAATCACTCATTGCAATAGCATAGCCAGAAATTAGTTGGTGGGTGGGCTTGCAGAAATGTGGGTGGGCCAAAAGGGCTGAGAGAAAATGTTGCTTTTTTAAAGCGAATTTCCTGCAATTCTACACATTTTACCATGGATCAGGCAGGAAAATGTGCTGTTTTCTAACGAATTTCATGCTATTTTACACATTTTGCCATGAGGCTGAGAGAAAAAGTTGAATTTTTAAATTAAAGCTGTGATGAAGGCACTGGATTTTGAGCGATTATGAGCTGTCTTGTTTGCTAAATGAACTAATGAAGTAGGCAGTGGCATGGTGTATATAGCCATAGAAGCACAGTTTTGTGCCTCAATGCGGTCATATTCGTGGCTTATTTAGTTATTTTTGGCCACCCATCCCATGAAAGTGAATGTAATTCCAGTTAATCTAAATGTCATTCCAGTGCCTGCTTGCTATGAATTATATCACATAGTGTTTGCATGTTTAGGTAAAAAGGAAAATAATGTCCATTTTGGAACACTGACAAGTAGAGAGCATAAAAAATATATATACACTAACGGGCAAAAGTTTTAGAACACCTACTCATTCAAGGGTTTTTCTTTATTTTTACTATTTTCTACATTGTAGAATAATAGTGAAGACATCAAAACTATGAAATAACACATATGGAATCATATAGCAACCAAAACAGTGTTAAACAAATTCTTAAAAGTAGCCACCCTTTGCCTTGATGACAGCTTTGCACACTCTTGGCATTCTCTCAACCAGCTTCACCTGGAATGCTTTTCTTGAAGGAGTTCCCACATATGCTGACCACTTGTTGGTTGCTTTTCCTTCACTCTGCGGTCCGACTCATCCCAAACCATCTCAATTGGGTTGAGGTCAGGGGATTGTGGAGGCCAGGTCATCTGATGCAGCACTCCATCACTCTCCTTCTTGGTAAAATAGCCCTTACACAGCCTGGAGGTGTGTTGGGTCATTGTCCTGTTGAAAAACAAATGATAGTCCCACTAAGCCCAAACCACATGGGATGGCGTATCACCTGTTTACATTACATCGCTCCCACTTCTGACACCAATGTAATGAAACAGGCAGGGAGTGCGGCTCGAACCCAGAACCTTCTAGCCCAAAGCCCAGCGCACCATAGACTGTGGCAGTCGATATCCGCGCTTATAAACCAGGGTCACTGCATTATGTAGGTCTATTTGTAATATGTATATATTTTTTTTTTTATGTCATTATCCACTGTACTATAAATGCTCCCAATTCTCCACACTGTTTCTTTTCCTCTGTAGAACCACACCTTTACAATATTTTCATTAAACAGCACAAACTGGATCCCAGAATTGCAGACATATTTTTAATAGAAAATTAAGGCCAGCATTGTACAACCATCAAAATAGTTTAATAATTCACATGCACCATGACTCGAACGAGATAGCGTGCCACAGGTGTCAAAACTTTCAATGACTGTGCCCAGTGTAAAAGTGGCAATATAGCATCTCAATACTCATTAAACTGACACACACTAAGAGGCAAAGAGTAGAAAACAGATGGCTTTCCATGATTCCATGAACCAGTATCCCAATCCCCGCCCACTGCGCACAGACGTCATTTCAACGTTAAGTTTTGATTTATATTTGGTTGAATTGTCAACTAATGTGAATTAAATGTGAAATCAACAAAAAATGTCATTGGATTTAGGTAAAATTATATAATAAATCCCTTACGTTGATGACCTTTTGCAAATCCATGTTGATTCAACATCATCACATTGCATTCTTTTTTATGATGTGGAAACAATGTTGATTCAACCAGTTTTTGCCCAGTGGGCGCCTCCATGTATAAAACCCAGTAGCGCTCCTGCAATCTGCATTGGATTACTGAAAGCACCGCATTAGCGAAAATAACCTGCCTAGCTCCCTGTCAGTCACTAACCCGGAGGCTCAGTTGTCAAGGTATAGTAAAACTATTGTAGCTATAGTATATTCTACCTGTTTGTGACCTATTTAACTGATATTATATGTCCATATCTTACTGGGATAGACCTGGTTGGAACCTTGTTTCATTTATATTTGGGATATTTAGTCGTTTAATATCGCGGCAAACATGTTATAGGCTATTTGTAGCTCTTGTTAAGTGTCCTATACCCTCTCCTATGGCGATATGTCATCTGGCGTGAATGCATTTCATTTTGGTGAATGATTTTCTGCATAGTTTTACCTGGAGAGGCACAGGTTCGCCACTCGGGATATGAACCTACCATTATCTATGAATAAACATTTAGTGCGGTGGTATTTTATTACATTCTATTTGCTCAGTGTTGCAAAAATGTGTTGGAACGAATCATCCACTAAGGTGATTTTGATGCGGGTGATTAGGTAGATTACCTTCTGGCAGCGGGTCAAAGATGCTACGGAGCATGACAGTTGTCAGGCTTCAAACACGAAGTCAGAGGGGTTACCTTGCTAAGGGGGTCCGGTGTGCGCAGTGCCTGCGGCTCCGTTCATGAGATTTTCCCATGATGGGGTCGGGGGGGTCGTCACCGCAACCCCAAGCTGAATGTGCCAAATGTGCCCAAAAACCGTAAGTAACGTTTTCTGATAGTCAGTGGAATTTGCCTCTCTCTCTCTCTCTCAACCCCCTCCTTCCCTCTTTTTCTGTCTCATATCACACTCTCCTCTGTCACTGTGTAGCTCTCTCTCTCTTCTGTCTTTTCATCACTGTGTGCCCCTCTCTCTTTCTTCTATCTCTGCCTTCTATCCTTATCGTCTATCCTTATAGCGCCATGTCGAACGAGGAGCGGACTTTCATTGCCATCAAGCCAGATGGAGTTCAGAGGAGGCTTGTTGGAGAAATCATAAAGAGATTTGAACTAAAGGGCTTCAAAATGGTGGGGATGAAATTTGTCCAGGTACGTTATTCTACTTACTGGAATCTCTGTTATTGTATTTTATATGTAGGCTGTAGTCCTATGTACTTTCAGTGCATTATTAGACAAAATGGGATAGCCAATAAGTAGGACTGAATGGAGGCCTGTCTGTTATGTAAACAGGCTATCTGACAGCATTTCTAAATAAGCACACAAATCATCTAAGCAACTGCCAATACACAATACACATTCATTGGACATATAGTACAGTACAGTAGGGCTTCATTTAGTCCTTGAGGTAGGTCCTAGTGAGCAGATTAGCTTGCTGGCTTTTCTTAACCACATGTATGTTTAGCATAGGTCTCCTGATCCTGTCTGTGTTGGTCTGTGGCCAAGAGGGCTGCCTGTGACTTATGAACCCAGGGATCAGAAGGGCCCACCGATAATAGTCACTGTTTACAGGGGGCTATTCAAGGGTTAAACACATTTACCTAGTTATAAACTCTAGTGACTTCCTGTGATTGATGCTATATACACTATAGCATAGTGTATCCAGATATAGGCTATAGCTTTACGAAACCCTTGTTGTTGAGACATGACTGTTGCAGGATCCTTTACTCCACAGGAGGTTGGTGGCACCTTAATTGGGGAGGATGGGCTCGTGGTAATGGATGGAGCGGAATAGGTGGAATGGTATCAAATACATCAAACACATGGTTTCCATGGTTTCCATGTGTTTGATACAATTCCATTTACTCCATTCCAGCCATTATTACGAACCGTCCTCCCCTCAGCAGCCTCCACTGCTTTACTCCTGCTATTCTACTACAGGTGTTCAACATAGTTCGCTGTACTTTGCTGTGATCTGCCTCTTGTGTGTCTATGGTTATGATGGATTATTGATGATTTATTCATGGTTCTGACTGCCTGTTGTGTTGTGTCTGATTAACCCAGGCCCCGGAGTCTCTGCTGAGGGAGCACTACGCTGACCTCCAGGACAGACCTTTCTTCCCAGGCCTCGTCAGCTACATGACCTCAGGACCAGTGGTGGCCATGGTAGGACAGACTTTCCTTGTTGTGTTCATTTACAAGTGGTGCAATGGTCTAGTTTCTCCTACAAGAACACAGAAAAGCCTGCACCCTGTAATGCTGCTAATACCATTTCAGCATGCATGCATTCACTACCTGTACCACTGTCAGATTATGGCTTTGAGCCGCCAGGCGTCAACATATTCAGATTAGTACTTGTATTTTGAAATGTTTTTGACCGCTGCACATAGAAATGGAAGATCATAAAGAATACTGGGTTATTATATTAAAGCTGATCTATCCTCAAAAAATAAATAAATAAAGAATACTGGGTTAGTAAAGTGTTATCCCTCTGTGTGTGGGTGGCAGGTGTGGGAAGGGTTCAACGTGGTGAAGACAGGCAGGGTGATGCTGGGAGAGACCAACCCTGCAGACTCTAAACCCGGCACCATCCGAGGGGACTACTGCATCCAAGTGGGCAGGTGAGAATTCATCGCACCACACGACTGCACATGATACAACAAGAAAAGAAAGCTGTGTTTAGTTACACACACAACAGATAACACACAAAAGCATTTACCAAGTAAACTTGTGTTGATTTTTTAAAAACCTCTACAGCGGTGATCATTGACATCACTTGGACAACTCCAGTGCTTGTTAACTCTATCCAGAGACACTAATGCTTCATTGACCCATCGTTATACCATTATATGCTAAGTCTCCATCTTTCTTCCCTTGTTGTTTTCAGGAACATCATCCATGGCAGTGACTCAGTAGAGAGTGCCAACACAGAGATCAACCTGTGGTTCAAACCTGAGGAGCTGTGCAGCTACACTAGCTGCTCTACCAGCTGGCTCTACTGATCTAGGATCAGTTTACCATCCACAAACCCTAACCTTTAGGACTAGGAGGGGGAATGTAAAACTGACCTTAGATCAGAGACAACTTCATCCTTCTCTTCCTGGCAACTGAGGACCACGCCACCTTCTGTTCACTTACTGTACCTGTCTGTGATTGGTCCATCCGCGGTTCCATTCATTCCTCTGGATGTACCGTTGTCATGGTAAATGTGTGTTTAACTGCCTGTTTTGTTCAACTGAGCTTTCCAATAAAAAACTCACAACCCCATATTTTTTCTTGTTGCTAGGGGTTTCCAGAAATCCTGGTTGGAGGATTCCGGATTTCCTTCTTATTCCCTCCTGATTCCGGGATACTTCCAACCGTGTTTTCTGGAAACCAAGGATTTTATTTTACCTCTGTCACATCATGAAAACACTTTTCTTTGAACAGCCACCCCATGCACTGCTCTTGACCTGACATGGCCTACAGTAGGTTGATAGGGTTTATTGGTGCATCAACGTCTTGTGTGCCTCAGTCCTGCTGGCCAGATTGACAGTTCAAACATTAGCAGGCCTGGCCAGGTCACTGCCAACATTAAGAGGGATTAGCCGGCTCCATAATCTTAGGTTGGGATTAACTGTGGATCTGCTGCCTTGCTCAAATGAGTAAACGGTCAACCTAATGGTGGACGAGCGTTTTGGGACCTGGGATGACACAAAGGCTCAAAGAAGAGGTATCGCACACATATACTGTATGCTTAGAATAGTACCTGTGTCACTGGGGTGTTTTGAAATGGGAAGATTTGACCCGAGATGTCTATCAGACGTGCGTGTGGTGTGAGCACTGGAAGCACCTGAGCCTGGTGGATCTCTGTAGTCAGTCTCATTGCAGGACTCTGGAGACGCACTAGGTCCACTGCAGGTGGCAGTAACCTCTTGAGTTCCAATCGTTAGGCCCGGCGCTCCTCTCCAGGACAGTCCCCATGAGGCCGAACACCATCTCGTCTACACTATACAGTGGCTTGCAAAAGTATTCACCCCCCTTGGCATTTTCTCAAGTCTCTTGGGGTATGTCTCTATAAGCTTGGCACATCTTGCCACTGGGATTTTTGCCCATTCTTCAAGGCAAAACTGCTCCAGCTCCTTCAAGTTGGATGGGTTCCGCTGGTGTACAGCAATCTTTAAGTCATACCACAGATTCTCAATTGGATTGAGGTCTGGGCTTTGACTAGGCCATTCCAAGACATTTAAATGTTTCCCATTAAACCACTCAAGTGTTTATTTAGCAGTATGCTTAGGGTCATTGTCCTGCTGGAAGGTGAACCTCCGTCCCAGTCTCAAATCTTTGGAAGACTGAAACAGGTTTCCCTCAAGAATTTCCCTGTATTTAGCGCCATCCATCATTCCTTCAATTCTGACCAGTTTCCCAGTCCCTGCCGATGAAAAACATTACATTTGACATTTTAGTCATTTAGCAGACGCTCTTATCCAGAGCGACTTACAGTTAGTGAGTGCATACATTTTCATACTGGCACCCCGTGGGAAACGAACCCACAACCCTGGCGTTGCAAGCGCCATGCTCTACCAACTAAACTACAGGGGATTATGCTGTCACCACCATGCTTCACTGTGGGAATGGTGTTCTCGGGGTGATGAGAGGTGTTGGGTTTGCGCCAGACATAGCGTTTTCCTTGATGGCCAAAAAGTTCAATTTTAGTCTCATCTGACCAGAGTACCTAATTCCATATTTTTGGGGAGTCTCCCACATGCCTTTTGGCAAACACCAAACATGTTTGCTTATTTTTTTCTTTATGCAATGGCTTTTTTCTGGTTACTCTTCCGTAAAGCCCAGCTCTGTGGAGTGTACGGCTTAAAGTGGTCCTATGGACAGATACTCCAATCTCCGCTGTGGAGCTTTGCAGCTCCTTCAGGATTATCTTTGGTCTCTTTGTTGCCTCTCTGATTAATGCCCTCCTTGCCTGGTCCGTGAGTTTTAGTGGGCGGCCCTCTCTTGGCAGGTTTGTTGTGGTGCCATATTCTTTAAATTTTTTAATAATGGATTTAATGGTGCTCCATGGGATGTTCAAAGTTTCTGATATTTTTTTATAACCCAACCCTGATCTGTACTTCTCCACAACTTTGTCCCTGACCTGTTTGGAGAGCTCCTTGATCTTCATGGTGCCGCTTGCTTGGTGGTGCCCCTTGCTTAGTGGTGTTGTAGACTCTGGGGCCTTTCAGAACAGGTGTATATATACTCAGATCATGTGACAGATCATGCACACAGGTGGACTTTATTTAACTAATTATGTGACTTCTGAAGGTAATTGGTTGCACCAGATCTTATTTAGGGGCTTCATAGCAAAGGGGGTGAATACATATGCACGCACCACTTTTCCGTTATTTATTTTTTATAATTGTTTGAAACAAGTACTTTTTTTCATTTCACTTCACCAATTTGGACTATTTTGTGTATGTCCATTACATCAAATCCAAATCCATTTAAATTACAGGTTGTAATGCAACAAAATAGGAAAAATGTATATACAAAAGTATGTGGACACCCCTTCAAATTAGTGGATTCGGCTATTTCAGCCACACCCGTTGCTGACAGGTGTATAAAATCAAGCACACAGCCATGCGATCTCCATAGACAAACATTGGCAGTAGAATGGCCTTACTGAAGAGCTCATTGACTTTCAAAGTGGCACCGCCATAGGATGCCACCTTTCCAACAAGTCAGTTCGTCAAATTTCTGCCCTGCTAGAGCTGCCCCGATCAACTGTTAGTGCTGTTATTGTGAAGTGGAACGTCTAGGAGCAACAACGGCTCAGCCACGAAGTGGTAGGCCACATAATCCCACAGAACGGGACCGCAGAGTGCTGAAGCACGTAGCGCGTAAAAATCGGGAGCTTCATGAAATGGGTTTCCATGGCCGAGCAGCTGCACACAAGCCTAAGATCACCATGCGCAATGCCAAGCGTCGGCTGGAGTGGTGTAAAGCTCGCCGCCATTGGACTCTGGAGCAGTGGAAACACGTTCTCTGGAGTGATGAATCACGCTTCACCATCTGGCAGTCCGACGGACGAATCTTGGTTTGGCGGATGCCAGGAGAACGCTACGTACCCCAATGCATAGTGCCAACTGTAAAGTTTGGTGGAGGAGGAATAATGGTCTGGGGCTGTGTTTCATGGTCTGGACTAGGCCCCTTAGTTCCAGTGAAGGGAAATCTTAACTACAAAGAGTGAAAAAATATGCATTGACAAATATGGTAATTTATAAGTATCATTTTATTCAGTGTAAAAAGTTAGTTCTTACAAAAATCATTAACAGATATGCCTTTTCACAGCCATGCGGAAAAAGTTTGCAATGATTGTAAACAAAGAAACTAAAATAATACAACCAATATTATGTCCCCAAACATTTGGTATATTTACACATTCAAGGAATTGTCTATCAAACCTCGATCACAGCACAAAATTACCAGAAGGATGAAAGAAAACCTCATATTTATAGACACACTATCAAAAAGATGTACAAACCCTACACTGCAACTTAATATGTACCACAAGGGCCAGTGTTAATAATTTCAACAATATTTTTAACAAATCATTTAGTTATTTGTCTCCAAAATAAAACATCAAAACACAACTTAAGCCCCTCCATTCATAATTACAATTGAGAATTATTTTGCCAATAAAATAACTAATAATCACATTATCAAATATATGTAGCACCATGATATAATGGCTGAATATAGAGGGGTTGTCACATACAAAAAGAGACCCGTGTTAGTATTCAATGAACAGACACCGCATTCTAGATTGACTCCCTAGCCCCTACCACCACCACTAGACAGCATGTTTGGGTCTGAAAAGGCTTGGATAGGTGTAAGCAATATGGCTCAAATTACACCAAGCCTACCAAAAGAACTAGTACCATGTTTCTCATACCTATCAAATCCTTTCAGATCTATAGGAGATACTTAGGGTTAGAGGTCGATTTAGAGTGGGCGGTAGCACGACCAAAGACCATAACAGCAAAAAAAGCTCAGTACAGGACCACAGAAAGACCTCACTATTCTGCATGCACTCTAACTTGATTGATCAGTGCACCCAGTCCCAAATCAGCCCCTCGCTCCTCCTCAGATCTACACACTTCCTGAATAGCCCCTTGTACATCTGAACAGACCGGATAGATGTGAGCCTATAATGCCATCATATTGCTTATACCCAACCTATTCTTTCAGTTCTCTAAGAAGGACTCAGAAGTGTCTAGAGGTAGAGGCAAGGTGTTGACTTTGGATTGGGCTTCTAGGTGATATCAGGATATTCTTACATACATTTCTAAGAATAAAGAAAGAGGCATAGTATCACTGAAAAATAAGAAACCTTTCTCCAAAATGCAGAAAAGGTTTGCTGTGTTTGATTGTGCGTTAGGAATCATTTGGGTTAATTGGAAAGTAGCAGCAAAGTTAGTCTATAAACAGCCGTGTCTTTTTATTTTCCTTACTAAGATAATGTAATTTGGTCAGTAAATTGGTTAAGATGACCATCATCCTTTAATGCTTTCTTCATTCTCATCTAGTTAGTCATAGTCTGTGCCAGATCGGATTTCATGAAGTGAATCACAAACAAAAAGCAAATCCTGAACTCCAAACCTTTTACACATAAGGGGATAGTGAGACACTAAATTGTATTGCTCTGCTGGACATTGTATATAACCTTAATTAATATGAACAATTACATCTAAATCAACAGAAAGGAAATGCATATTGGCAGAAACTATGAAACTATACATCCCTTGGAAAAGGAACTACACATGAAAACAATGAGGGTAATACATACCTATCTATACAAAGCATTGCGTCAAACAAAGCTGATCAAGGGTTCTTAATGAATTGTAATTGTTCGAACATAAAGGGTTTATATAAAATACCTTACCAATCAACTGAACAGTAATCACTGAACACAAGAAACAATATCAAAACGGGAGAAATGAACATTCAGACATGGACAAGAAGAAACATTAATTTGTGAGCAAGTTGTTCCATTAAGACTTTTCTTTAAGTAACTTTACCCAATGTCATTCTGTTTGATTTTGACTGTAATGTGCTTTGCTTGACCCTTGCAGACAAGAAAAAGCAAACATTTCCTGAGAAGTTAATCGTCAACCTTACTGGTATAGAAAGAGAGATTATAGCTAATTTCACATCCACTGCAACGATCACTGAGCCAGACCCATTTGTCTGTACTAGTCTATTTCTACACTGAGTGTACAAAACATTAAGGACACCTACTCTTTCTAAAAATGTTGTACACTCAGTGTATATAGTGTGTGGTTCTAACAAACCTAACTATTCTATTCTGATTATAGACCATAGCTCACAGTTGTCACAGTTATGCAATAGAATTTAGGTAAACTGATGTAAGTATAATATATTTAATGTATCATAATATCACTTTAGGGTGTTATAATTCATGGATCTGACATAGCAAAATAATACAGAAAACATTATTGCATATTACTCCATTTCAAGGACTACCTCAAATGTGCTATGTTACAAATATCTGTGTTTGCGGTCTAGTCTTAAAGTCAAACATATGAGGATATAATTATTTTATTTGCATATGGTATATCAAGTTGCCCAAACCTGCATTTCAAATTTGAGACCCATTATGATTTCACAATGAGCCCCAACCCTGTCTCTATTTGACTGCCAAGCTCATCAGGAGGTAGTACAAAGATAGAAATGTCTAGATACAGATGCGTCATCACTCAGTACCAGCTACAACACACAAGCAGATTCAGGAGGATGTCCTCCAACCAATCAGGAATCTGACAAAAATGTATGCGCTCTAATTGGTGAATAAAGAAGCCAATGGGAAAGGTTCTCCTGCTATAGCCTACTCCAATCAGATCCCATTGGTTTTGTGAATGTACACCTACAGAGACTATCAACAAAGCAGTGTTTAATAAATGAAGACATTAATACCGACAATAAAGTTGTTATCCAAGTGGCTCAGTTGAATACTTAACCAGTATGCATCAATATGGCTCTGAAACAAAGAACTACCCATACACAAGAGGAAAAAGACCACTGAAATAAAATTACCAGTTTTGCATATCTCGGAAGTCATCCATGAAATGTAGCCTATATTGTTTTTCTTTCTGCTTTACAACATCATTTTAGGTTTGAACTTTGCTTGATTGCTAAATCATTTCTGTCTTTTAGGGCCAGACTTACTAAGTTTACACTTGTTTTCTTAGAGGATATTGGATATGACGAGGAATAAGACATTATGGTAGAGTAATAAAGAGTATATCATGGTTTAGCTTTGTTTCTGGAGTTGTATCCCGTACTTAAAAAACAGATGCAAACATTAGCGAAGTCTGGTCCTTCTATTCTAAAGCTGCTGACATAGAAAGGTAAGTGTGGTTCCAACAACCCAAAGAGACTGGTTGTTTGTTCCTGTAGTGCAATCTGTGACAGTGTTTATCTAGTGTATCCCAATAGACACATTAGCACACTACTTAGTATGCATAGCCAATACTAAGTAGTATGCAAGTTACCCTATTAAGACACAAACCCCATCTAGTCTGAGAGCGTCAGTCCTATCACACCAGCAAGGTTTCAGATTTATACAACACCTATTCAAAACCCACTCTCATCAAATCACAATTCTTAATATCTATATAGTTCTATATTGAATAGTCACATTTATGAATATGTATCCTCATAATATCCACACCACTCCGATAGTACAAATCAGTGTTTAAGTCAAAATAACAACATCCCTCCAATTTAAAGAGCAAAAACAAACACAAAACAGAAACTTTACAAACAGAAACTGAAAACGTCAAGTACTATTAACAAATCAAAGCAAGTCCACCTGGCAAAATCGTTAAAAAAGAATACTAATAATAATCCTGTTTTATACAACTCGTTCCCTTCCTCTGTCTCTCAAGACTGTGTGAAATTAAATCCTGCCATGTGCGGCTAGCTCTCTTACCTGAAAGAAATAAACCAAAGACCTGGCTCAGAAATGTCTGTCACAGTTAGTCCAGGTGACTGTGCGTGTGGGCCCCAACTTTTGTGTCAGAGATCCTGCCTGGCAGGGTGGGGGAGAGACAGACTACCCAAATTAGAGGCTTGTTGTGGGCATCCAGAGCTCCAAGGCCCTCTAGATAGATGTATTTATGGAGGAAGAGAGAGAGCAGAGCCACAGTCGTATCCAATCATCCAGGGAATTGGGATTTTAATCAGGTTGTCCAGGTATCATAAGCGGCCTCTTCCGGGCCGGTGGCTTTGGGAAGTGTCCAGTTACCCGTTAGCCTTGTTCATATGGTATGTCTGTCTCAGTGAATGAGTGACTGTCTATCAGGGCGCCAGGGTTTGAGGTTGTAGCTGCTCAGAAGGGTTCTCTCCTCTGGATGGTTTTGGGGAGCCCCAAGTAGCTTTATTTGTGGGGTGAGGGTTGGGGTTTCAGGGCGTGTAGTCACTCAGTGTTTGTACCCCAGTAGCATTCTCTCCTGATTGGGGTGTAAGAGGCTGGCTTCTCTGGATAAGGTTTTTTAGAGCACTCCATACTCCCTGCCATGTTGCTCTTGTCTTGGCTTAGGGATGTGTCTTGTCCTAGTTGGGGGTTGTAGGAGGTTCCCATTGGCCTGTCCTACCCGGCTTCCCCCTGCCCTCCCAGGCCTAGCCCCAGGCCCTGTCCCCCCGATCATCAGGGCTCCTGTTTGATGTAGTAGCTGCCCGAGCCGTTGCTCTCCTGGTCTGAGATGCCCTGGGAGAAGGTGAACTCATCCACCTCAGCCGGCTCCTCCTTCAGACGCAACAGAGACTCTGGAGAGCAGGAGAGAGAGAGGGGAGCGAGAGGGAGAGAGAGGGGGGAGAGAGCGTTAGCCAAATTGAGGGTTACATGAATCTCAAAATTCTGGGTGAAACTCTTTCCAGCATACCAAGACAGAGCATACATTTTCAACTCCAAGACAGAACAAAATAGCAAAACAACTATTTTTATTCACAAAACACTTTTCAGCACAGGAACAGCTGACTTAATACCTAGCCCTCCATCTGAGCCTGCAGTTCCTGTAATACGACCAGACATACACAGTAAATCATATTACAACTTTTGCTCATTAATACATCCTGCTCACCTAGTACGCATCATGAGGTGGGAGGAGAAAATGACATTTTTCACATGAATACTTCAATAACATGACACAGAAACAGATAAATAGATTTTTCTTTCCTGCAGCTGCATCCGACACACAGCGATCACACATAAAGGTCAGGACCTAGAGTGGCTGAGGACTGTCCCCTGTTAGCGCCCTCTGTCTGTGTGGAGGTCTTGGTTGTTATTTATTGTTAGTGTGTTACCTGGTTTGTGGGTGTGGTGGTGGTGATGGTGGTGGTGGTGGGTGCGGGGCCGGGGGACCATAGTGGGGCCCTGGCTGGAGTAAGGGGGCGGACTCTGCTCTTCCTCCTCCCCTGATAGGCTCCTCCTCCTGCCTGCCTGACTGAAGGGCCGTCGACCAACTGGAATCTTCCGCTCTAGACACCAAGTCAGACTCAGGTAAGCTTCCAGGGGTGTTTTCAGGATGCTAGCGTTCCCAACCGTATAGATTTGAATGTTTGGTTGCACAGTGTTGCTTTATATGTTTTTTCCAAATCTAATAAATGCATTCATTTATTCATCATAGATAATATTGTGTGTATTAAGCAAAGGCCTAGATAACTCCATGCTTTAATGAGATTACATAACATGTACATATTCCAAGTCCTTTCATATAATATTTCAAAACACCAATCACCAGACCCCAATTAATTGTTTTGTTGCAAAACCTTTCAAACGGTTCAGAGAATGATCTCTGTTCCATTATCAAATGTTCTAGAACCTTACATATTCTGAATACACCCCAGGTAAGCTACCAGGTAAGCAAGACTCAAGTAAACCAGCTAGCGTTGGTGGTGTGTGTGTGACCACATGTCTGTTTGGACCGTCACAACCAGTGTTACAAGCCCCTTCGACCACCTCTTTGGCTTTTACCCCAAGTACCACAGCTTCCTTTCATGTGACTCATGCCAACCAATCAGATCCCAAGGAACAGACAAGAAAGAAAAAACAAACCAATAAAGAGAAAGGGTAGATAGATTTACCCCACCAGAGTGTAGACCAACGAAAGGAGGAAAAGAGGATAACTCACTTTTCTTTTGGCCTTTGTACTGTTGGGCTTTCTTCTTCTGCTTAGGTACAGCAGGTGGGATTTCTCTGGCCACTGAAATGACATGAAATAGCAGTAAACAAACAGTTGCCTATTGTTTTACTGACACAAATGTACAAATGTACATTAAACCCTAGTTCGGGCCTAGGGTTTAATACCGGTAACCGGTATCCCGAGATTTCCCGACCAATCTCCTTCCTGTTTCCGGAGAAAGAAAATGACAGGTACCGTGGACCAATAATATACAAATTATATGCCGCACTAACACAAAAATGTTAAATATACACGTCCAAATAGCTGCATGAAACGGACATACCTACTCCCTGGCTTCATTCATAAATCAGACCAGTCATCACAACGCTAGCAGCCTACCATATTTACTCAACCCAATAAAAAAAACAGCACTTACTTGCATTGCTTTTATAAATTGACTTGCTGACTATGTGTAGGTTACATGCGACCTCTCGTTACGGTAGACAATCTCCATCTTACATTTACAAATCTCCAAAATAGCTGTGTGGCACTGGCAGAGGTTCGACATGTGCTAGTCTACTCACTGTTAACAAAACAGCTGCTACACTGGGTAGACATTTGCAACATTGTTCCATGATGTTAAACTTCAAAAGTGGGAGCACAGTGGGCTTACTAGTCAGATTTGCAGGAAATTGATCATCCACTGCGGTATCCATGGTGTTGAATCTCCGCTACTTGCTTATTTGTTTGTTCAGCTGAGAATCATATATACTGTATTCCCTGTGACAAAGTTGCCACAATAAGTCGGTTATCATTATGTACAAACAGCCACAACCCTCCCAAATTCCCCTGATAGCCAGGTGCAAGGGGAGAGAAAAGGACCAACAAGCTGTCTGACATCTATCAGTCAAAGGTAGGCTAAAACAAATGTAATATTCAGGCTGTTATAACCTTATAACATTTGACCAGTCGGTCAACAGTGCTTCATCAACGAAATAGGGTGGTGACAGAGAACTTTGAGTTATTAAATGGCAACAAATACAGTACATCAAGACACCATTAGATTCATGTGTATATATTTCTCAATTTACAGTGGTATAATCATGTCAGATTTTTCCGCTGGTATTACATGATCTTGCCTGGCGGGTAGGAGCGTTGGGCCAGTAACCGAAAGGTTGCTGGATCAAATCCCCAAGCTGACAAGGTAAAAATCTGTCGTTCTGCCCCTGAGCAAGGCAGTTAACCCACTGTTCCCCGGGCGCTGATGACATGGATGTCGATTAAGGCAGCCCCCCGCACCTCTCTGATTCAGAGGGGTTGGGTTAAATGCGGAAGACACATTTCAGTTGAATGCATTCAGTTGTACAACTGACTAGGTATCCCCCTTTCCATTTTAAAAATCCCCTAGAGTCTATTGACGCACCGGTGCGTCAACATAAGAAACATAATACAAAATTCCCCATCCAAATCTGCCAGTTTAAGTTAAAGATATGTTTTTTTGCATGGGATGCGTCTCAATCTACTGTATCTGCCTATGGCGGCCTTCCGTATCTGCGGTGAAAGGTGGCCGAGCTACAGTAGTGTTTGTCAGATCATGAGACATCCCGAAAATCGGTCTTCTCACGAAATCATCTGTAGCGTCCGAACAGTTTGGCCTACACACTATGGAAAGGGGAGACTCTCACGAACACAATGGTGTTCTCCATTTTGCTCTACGACCCCCACAGGTCCCACGGGACTCATCTGAAGTCGGTACCGTCGATGTGACAAGTTCTGTTTGTAGTGTCCGAACTGTTTTGGGCTACAAACTAAGGTGACTCCACTGTGGAAAGGGGAGACTCTCACAAACACGATGGTGGTCTCCGTTTTGCTCTACGACCCCCACAAGTGTCATGGAACTCGTCTGAAGGTAACCGGTACTGGTTTAAAAAAATTAATGGAAGTATGGAGGTAGTTTTGTGCCTACCCCCCAAAAAGGGGTTAAATGTGTCAAAAAATACTCAAATATTTCCTGACCTCTCTTATAGCTCCTAGATATACGACAGACACTTCAAAACCTTATTCCTTATGATTTCTTTTTGGACTGTCTTTTTTGCCATTTATAAATGTTATTCAATGCATTTCTATGGGATTTGGTACTAAAGGCCACATTTTTATTTATGTCTAAAGGGGTCCTAAAACATTTCTGGGGAAGGAAAATATGTCAATTTTTGGGAAAATACTAAACCCTATTTGGGACTCCAATTGAATGTTATCAAGTAATTGGCAACATATTGCTGGAACCTAATCCAATCCATCAATGAGAACCTAAGGGTAGAGATTGATTTATGACTGAGCATGTTAGCGTGTTATATTTGTGTAGAACTATAGTGTTTGATCTCACTCTGTGCGGCGGGGGGCTGTAGCTGGTAGCCGGTCAGCTGACACCAGCCCACGGGGTAGAGGTCAGGTGATTGGCAGTCCACCCATTGGTCATACTCGTCCTCCCAGCCGTCAAAGTGGATGCGCAACAGGCGGTGGACGATCCGAGTTACTGTGGCAACACACACCAGCCTGGGATCCATCAGGTCCACGGCCTCCAGCTTCATGCCCTGGCGGAACCCGTGGTTTGGAACATCCTGGGCAGAGGCAACAAGATGGCGGAGGCAAAGAGGAGAGATATTTTTAGGTTAATGGTCAATCCATTTTCTTACATGAAACATGTACAGTGGGTATCGTAAGTATTCACCCCCCTTGGATTTCTTCACATTTTATTGTGTTACAAAGAGTTAGGAATTTACACCTTTCCTACGGACTTCTCAGTATTTGGTATTCAGACTTACCTTAATCAGTCACGTAACACGCTCTGCAGGTGTGGCTTTATTGCTCCCTCTGAATACATTTTATTCAACTGCTGAAAACCCTCCCACTTGCTAGCCAACAGATTTCATCATGGAGTTTTCATTCAATAGGGTTTTCAGTACATTTATCTTAAGACATCCCTTTAAATACAGTGTAACTTTTGTTAGAATTCTGTCGACAGACTAGAATATATTGAAAAAACGGGTTCAGAATATTAGGGATCAATGAACGAAAGCCATCTAAATATATGCATATTCGTCTACATTTCAGCACCAATTGGTAGATAAAAAAATACTCTGATCTTGTAGATTATTTAGGAAAGTATTTAAGAATCATAAAAAACTGGTTTGGAGAGCCTTTACACACGAAATAAAGAAAAAAGTGGTTTGATTCATTCTGAAAAGTGCCACATTGAGTTCTTTAACTCATGGTAATGTTAGAAGATTAGTGTACATGGAATTATAATAGGGAAAATAGTGTACAATAGTAGGCTATACCCACATCTATTGCCTGCACTAACCATGGAACTGTGTGATGACATGGCCAAGTATTGCGCCATACTGTTACGGCTTGGTCTGCACTCCGTAACGATTTAATTAGCCTACGTCTTTTTTTCTTATATTATCAACTGTTACTAATGAAATAGGAAACAGAGAAAGTCAGGGTAGCCTATAATTAAGATATTCGAGAGTGCCCATCCCTGGCTGCAAGTTAAAAGGCTGTACAATTTAAATGCTGCATAATGGCACAGTATTTCATCAACTTTGGGAAAGATATGTTGATATGCTTCAGTTTGCTGCCATATGACTGGTTTCACATTTGTCTCCAGCTATTATAAGGTGAACTAGATCTAAATCAAGTGTCATTTATATTTACAATTCCCTTATCCAAATGGATTACTCTTTTACCTAGCTCATATCAATAGCTCGTATCAAGTTGTACATTACAGTGCATGGAGAATGGTGTTAGATGCTTTTTCCCACTTGGAACCAGTAGGTTCGCTAGACCTTATTCTCATGCTTAAGTTCAAGGTCAGAATACGCATAGAGAGAAAAGTGCATAAAGGGATTTACATTACATTTACGCTTGCTTAACTCAGGTGGAAATCGCCCCCTAAGAGCTTTGCACACCTGGATAGTTTAATTGCTCATTCTTTTCAAAATTCTTCAAAGCTCTGTCAAGGTGTTGAGAATCATGGTTAGATAGCGATTTTCAAGTCTTGCCATAGATTTTCAAGCAGATTTAAGTCAAAACTGTAACTTGACCATACAGGAACATTCACTGTCTTCATGGTAAGCAACTCCAGTGTAGATGGCCTTGTATTGTAAGTTATTGTCCTGCAGAAAGGTGAATTCCTCTTCCAGTCTGGTGTAAAGCAGACTGAAGCAGGTTTTCCTCTAGGATTTTGCCTGTGCTTAGCTCCATCCTGTTTCTTTTTATCCTGAAAAACTCCTCAGTCTTTGCTGATATCAAGCATACCCATACCATGATACAGCACCCACCATGCTATAAAATAAGGAGGCAGTTAGTGATGTGTTGGATTTGCCCCAAACTGAAGGCTTTGCATTTCGGCCAAAAAGTTTATTCCTTTGCCATGCTGTATGTTTTTATACTTCTTATCCTTTTGGTCATTATTGTGGCGTCACTACAATGTTGTTGATCCTCCTCAGTTTTCTCCCATCACAGCCATGGAACTCCATAGCTGTTTTAAAATCACAAATGGCCTCATGGTGACATCCCTGAGCAGTTTCCTTCCTGTTCTGCAGCTCAGTTCAGAAGGATGACTGTATCTTTGATGTGTCTGGGTGGTTTAATACATCATCCACAACATAATTATTAACTAGACCATGCTTAAAGTGACATTCAATGTCTGATTTGTTATTGTTACCCATCTACCAATCACTGCCCTTCATTATGAGACTTTCAAAAATCCCCTTGGTCTTGGTAGTTGAATCTGTGGTTGAAATCATGTCATGCCTACTATTTCACACAAAGTGAGTCCATGTAACTTGTGATTTGTTTAACCAAATTTTACTCCTGAACTAATTTAGGCTTGCCTAAACAAAGGGGGTGAATACTTATGCAACAACTACATTTTAGTAATTTAGTTTTTATTCATTTGAAAAAATGTGTAGAATTTTCTTTTCACTTTGACATTATGGAGTATTTTGTGAAGATCAATGACAGAAAATCACAATTACATAGATTTCAATCCCAATTTGTAACGCAACAAAATGTTTAAAAAATCCAAGGGGGGTGAATACTTATAATATCCAATGTATGTAAGCGAAACCTATCAACCTTATTTTCATGTAATCATAGAAGAACAAAAACGCATGTTGGCATGGCTTTGTCATTACACAGAACTACAGGACCGTGCGAAACAACAAAACAACACAGCCACGATGTCAGGAATCAGTCCTACCTTGTTAAAGAGCTTCACAGGAGCGGCTATTGAACTCGTTTCTCTGAGGTAGTCAAACCATTTAAATGGCAGTTTAGTGTACCCTGTGGGGCAAAGTCAGTGGTAAGGCTGGGTTAAGACATAACCCCCGACCAGAGAGGCCAGAGAGGAGAGAGAAGGAAAGGAAGAGGAAAGAAAACTACCTTCAACTATTGGGACAAAGAGATACTATCTAAAATGAGACTATCCTTCATTAAATAAGCAATGGTTGAATGAAAAAAATTAAATCTGAGTGAAGGAATGTTGTAGTCTGTGAAAGTAGGAAAAGAAAGGAGGGTATAGAAATGTACCTCTAGGGGGTGTGAGTTCGATGTTGTTGATTCCACAGAAGCCGGCAGGGAAGATGGAGGGAGAAGTGGAGTGGTAGCAAAACCAGTCTGAGCCATCAGCCGCTTCCGACCCGTCGATGCCGATCATGAGGTACCCGTCTGCCAACACCTGAGACAGACAATTAAACAGCAATACAAGATGTATACAACTCAACACCTGAAACAGACAGCAAACATCAAGACAAGATGTATACAACGCAACACCTGAACAGGTTACAGGGGACTGAAAATAAGAATAGGGAATCCCCAATCCAGGGGCACCAACAGTGGAGAAGTATGATTGTGCTAAATGCCCCTTGAATTTGCCCTATATGAACGTTTTCTATTGGTAACAACCCAAACTGTTTCCATAACTTTCTTACAGTGGCTCCACATAGACAGTTACCTTTCTTACAGTGGCTACACATATAGCTGAGAGGTTTAGAGGGTCAATGGCCTCTAGTTTCATCCCGTCTTTGAACCATTCACCACTCTGGTCCACATCTTTCACCTGAGGAGACATCACAGACACATTCATCATTTCGGATCCATACATGGAAAAATATCAATACAAACCACAGAGGCACAAAGACTTGGGCCACTGTAAATACACGTGGCGAATTACATTACCTTGGCAAACAGTGGGGCGGGGGCGTCCATCTGACCATCGATTTTCTTTGACACATCTGGAAAACAATCATTGCCATCAGAGCCAGAAAACAAACACATTGGACTAACCAACTAACTAACTAGGCCTAACTCACTAACAAATTAACTAGCCAAACAAACTAACTTGACTGACCGGATCGTTTGAAGCGGTGTCCGATGCTCCGTGACCATCCGATGGCGTGTATAAGGGGGGAGTACATGTGACACCAGAAGTCGTCGGAGCTCTCCTCGTAGACGAGCCTCAGCCTTCCCCCGATCACCTGCTGCACCAGAGCCACCCGAGTTCGGCACAGGTGGGTCTTATCCACCACCTCCACTCGCATCAGCTTCTTAAAAGGGAACTGCATGTTCTCATGGACCTGGTTAGGGAGGGGGAAATGGAAGGTGTTTACTGCAGGGATTGGAAGCAAAATTATTTTCCAATCATTTCATTCTGAACAGAACCACACATTTGTTTTTTCGTTCGACTATTCCGACCAGCAAAATAACGTTCTGAACTGGTTCGAAACAAATATTGTTCCTTTAGATTGTTCCTTTTTTAACTTGTGAAAATTGACAGTTTTTTTACATTTAGCTCATTAAATGACTTCACCGATCAGTGCGGATAGAGCAGCTTGCTATGGAGTGGGCAAGCTAATTGTTTACATGCGTGACGGACAGACAAGTGTAGGGTATGAGATACCACTGAAATTGTGCAGGTGGGGAGAGAGCGAGAGAGGGTGGAGGAGGCGGCTTGGCTTGAAGCGCTGGGCATCTTGTTATGACATGCAATACCTGAATTAGGCCCACAGAATATAGCCTACCTATGGAAGAGCGGCTTCTATGGAGGAACTTTCAATGTCCTTTGAACTGAGTAGGCTTAACGCTGGACCAGAGCTAGCTAACAAGCTTGTGTGTGCAGAGCGGCACCACAATTAAAAACACGTATTACCTTTTTATAGCTAATGAATCCAATGTGAAACGTGATAACTATAGTATCCTTAACTAGCGTTGAACAAGTTAATCCATTCTTCTCTAATAAAAACATCTCTGTCCCCTTATCTTGTGAATCACACTTGTAATGTCAGTAGGCCTTGCATAAGCACCTATTTTGTATTTTTTGTGGGACTGGAAATAAATACCCGGAACGTAAAATAACATGCTTCCGGAAATAACGGTTCTGTTCCGGAGCAGTAGAGATCACTTTCATTCCCGGTTCTGTTTCTGTTCCTTGACAAAGTACATTATTTTCCAGTTTTTGGTTGTGTTCCCTGAACCGGTTCCAACCCCTGGTTTAGAGTGGGAGCTTTAAGAGATCTAGGTAGAGTTTAGCCTATCATCCTTGGCTCTGCGGCTCATAATAATGACATCTTACCATGGCAGCAAAGTCCGGTGGCAGTGTTTTGGCTCCAGTGAGTCGCTTCACAAGAAAGGCTTTCCAGTTAGAGTACTTATGCTGTATCGCTGAGAGAGAACACAAAAACATTTCCGCCATCAGAGTCTATCAACCTGGTTTTTCATCTTCTGTTAGGGAATATGTGATTATTATAAAGGCAAGTAAAAAAAAAAAAAAGTATTACTATGATCATCATTATGAATATTGAGTGATGTTTACATTTGGGAGGTACGAGGGGTTTCCCGCTGGAGGCGCACCACCCCACGGGGTGGATCTCTGGAACACAGAGGTTACACCAGAAGTCCCTGATGGTGTCGTTGTCAAAACCCTCGTACCGCAGCAGAGCCTTGAACCCTGGGGAAGAGAACAGAAACAGAAAGAGACAACAGATAAAACACAGTTAGAACCTTTCACGGAACATCTTTACAACCCCATTACTGTGCATTCCTCTAAGAGGAATACCCCTTATTCTTGTTATATAAGTATAGTCTGATCATAGAGACAAAAAAAACACGTAATACTTTTATTGTACCACAGGTACAATTTTTATAAAATCCTCCATGTGTTTAGATGTGTTCTTACCTGCAAGTTTGACGATCCCTGCTATCCAGTAGACTTTAGTAGAGAGGTTAGTATCGGAGTTGAGCACCTCCACCCTCACTCCTTCAGCTAGGTCTCCCCAGCAAGTACCCATAGGGACCTAAGACACATAGAAATATTTCAATTTAATACGACTTCATATTATTTCCCACAAGGGACAATTGTGTTGATCAAAACAGTGTGGATTTACAGATGTATAAGCTTAGCATCTGCAAGTGACATCAATACAGGACAATTTGAATGTCTGGCTATTGTTTAAACGTACGTGCTTGAAACAGCTGACTGGTGCTCCGACCAGGTTATTGCTACAGATGTATCGTCCCCAGTCAAAGCACTCAACAGGAACCACTGTAGGGGAGAAGGAACAAGGTCAACATCACATGTTCACTATACTGGGTCAAGAAAATACAGAGAATGTGTGTTCTTTTGACTAAAACAACTTTCCATTCAAGGTCATTCTTCTCCATAACAATAATATGAGAGACTGTATGTTTGGTCTACTGGGGGACTCACCTGCTTTTGATTTAGCCAGGTTCTGTTGTTGTTGACTTGCTTGGTACTGGGCGTAAGCTGCCAACTTCGCCATGAGAGGCTGCTTCTGTAAGACCTTGGCCTTTTTCGTAGGTGGTTTACCCTTCCGTAAAAAGCACATAACAATGACACAAGATTAAAGAAAGAAAATAACAAAATATGTCCACACATTTGACTTCTGTTTTCTTGCATTTCCAAAGGAAATATAAGAAAAGATTCTCATTCTACCATCTGGCTAAAACAATAAAATGCAGAACATAGTTGGGCATATCATGGTTACCTGGAGTCTAGCCAAGATACTGGCTTTTTTAGAGTTGGAGGAATAACTTCTAGAGCAGGAGACGCTGCAGAAGCGTTTGGTTTTGGAGTAGAAGGCGTCTCGCACTCCAACCATCCCACACATCTCACAGGTTGCTGGAAAACAGAGGCAACACATAAATATTCCTAGGAAACTCAGAATACAGCAGGAAATTCCAATTCATTCAAAGTAATGTATTCTTTCATCAGTTCTTCTTCTCAAATATACTGTATGAAATGAAAGGATAACTATGACAGTTGCAGGCTGGGATCCATGTCAATACACACTCTATAGCCTAACCTCAATCACAGGCAGCCACTTAATTCACACTCTCTTCCACCGTCTCCATCCACAAATCCCCAACCGGTTTTGTGCGATCACCCCGGAGTGACACTGACTGGCTCATAGATATTCCTGACCGATTTCTATCTATATCTTCAGATTCTATATCAATATTTGTCTGTACTGACCCATGCCGGCCTTGCCGTCGGGGTAGGTGTAGACCTGTCCATTGTTCTTGATGATGGGCAGGCTGGCGGGGAGGGATGGCACCTCGTCCTCACTGTCCTCTGAGCTGGAGCTACTGGTGCTCTCCTCACTGCAGCTGTCGTACCCGTCAAACATCCCGAACGAGTCCTGACGCTTACGCTCCGAACGCGGGGTGCGCTCAGCCTGGAAGGAGCAGAGAGAGTGAGTGAATGACACCTACTGACACCAATTGTACAGTGAGAGGGTGGGTGAGTGAGTCTATAATGCTGAGCTAGATTTTGATGGAGAGCTAGACTAAGATCTATCGTTCATTATTGTGACTGGTTTTTCTTTCAGCCAGTAAGTAATTATAACTTTAGTAACCACGTTTTATTATGGCATAGTCATAATAGAATATTGACTTGAAAACTGGTATACTTGGAAACTGGGTATGGTAAACAATGTCATACAACAGTCGCACTGATATGTATGTATGATATAGATAGCTACATGGCTATGCATATGCACATGGCTCCAGGCATAAATGAGATGAGGAACAATATCCATACCAATAGAGCTAACGTTAATAGTATGGGATAACACAATTTTGCTGAGCAATGACTGAGTCTTAGTTACATAGTTAACATATATAATGGCAGTTACCTTCCTAGACTCTTTAAGGAATACCTGGGATAGGATAAAGTAATCCTTCTACCCCCCTTACCCCACCCCCCCAAAAAATAAAAAACATATTGTAAAGTGGTTATCCCACTGGCTATAAGGTGAATGCACCAATTTGTAAGTCGCTCTGGATAAGAGCGTCTGCTAAATGACGTAAATGTAAAAAAATTAAATGTATACAACAACAAAGCCGTCTCAGAGTATGTATTCATTTACCACTTCCTCTTCTGCATATCTGACAGTACTGTAAAATGATTTCCCCATAATCTGTTTTGCACTACGTTACTGGCTAGCTATTTATAATGTTCTAGTTAACACACTTAGCTAGCTAATTAACTAACCGAGTTGTGCAGAATGAATGTGAGAGCTGGGGCCTTAGCAGACCTGTTATTCCAGTTCTACTGTAGCGTTAGTTAGCTAGCTAGCTAACGTTAGCTAGTTACAAGAAGACACTGCTTGCAATACATTATTTCAATAAACGAGTAGGCCTTTATCATGTAAAAACCGAATAAAACATCCGTATATTCACTTTCCAAATAAGGGCTGTTGGATATTATTTAACAAGTTTTGTGATTCAATCAGCTGTTCTTACTACAATCTGATAACAACGAAGGAGGAGCGCTAGCTCGCTAATGTTAGCCAACTAACGACGTTAGCTAGTTAGCTAACGTATCTAGCTACACAACAAGTCGGAAGCGGACGGACCATATCGGGGAAATGAACTCACCAAATTCCTTGTGTTCTCCATCAGCCCTTCATATAGCTAGCTAGAGTATTTTATTATTTTCTCAATTAGCTATAATAGTAAAACCCCCCAAATAAGGGGAGGTTTATTAGCTTCAGAAAGCTAAACTCGGACCCTCAAAAGGAACTCAAGCAGGATATCAACAAAAACACAATGTATCGAACGCGCACGCGCGAGTTTAACCCACATTGCTATGATTGGTCAGGGTTGAACGAGAGTTGCAGAAAACAAAACAGACCATCCCTCTTGTCATGTAAATAGTTTACTAACTTACCACAATCTTTGATCATAAAAGTAAAAATATCAAAGTGAACAAGCAAAAGGTTCAGATTCAAGATACTGTAAAAGGAATTTGTAGTGTACTTTGAAATAAAACAGAACAGCCTTCTTACATTGAAATATCTTTAAGTGTAATATATCTTTATTCTTTTTTGGCAACATAAACATCTGAAGCACAATATTACAGAGGCTTACATTTTCATTTAGATACAGATAGAAAATAAGTAAAAACCAAACAACACAATCCAAACATCAGCCACAATTACCTACGGTGCCTTCACCCCTAGACTTTTTCAAAATGTTGTTGTGTTACAGCCTGCATTTTAAATGGATTAAATTTAGATTTTGTATCACTGGCCTACACACAATACCCCATAATGTCAAAGTGGAACTGTGTTTTGACATTTTTACAAATTAATTAAAAATGAAAAGCTGAAATGTCTTATTCAACCCCATTGTTATGGCAGCCTAAATAAGTTCAGGAGTAAAAATTTGCTTAACAAGTCACATAATAAGTTGCATGGACTCACTCTGTGAAATAATAGTGGTTAACATGATTTTTGAACGACTACCTCATCTCTGTACCCCTCACATACAATTATATGTAAGGTCCCTCAGTCGAGCAGTGAATTTCAAACACAGTTTCAACCACAAAGACCAGGGAGGTTTTCCAATGCCTCGCAAAGAAGGGCACCTATTGATAAAACCTGGTTGATAAAATACCTGTATTTATGGTAAAGATATTTGAAAAGGGTATTTGTTTTTTAAATGATATTGTAAATTGGAATGGTAGAGTTCATGGAGTTTTCAGAATTGTATGAGAAGGTCTGCTCAATCTAAGATTACAACCAATTGATTACAGCATTACCCCAAAAATGGAGGAGGCAGGTAGCAGCGGGAGGAGGTACTAGGGAACTGGTCTGTCTGCCCAATATAAAGGATCAAAACTGGCGGAGGAATAAAAATAGCATAAATAAGAAAGTATACCAGTGTCATTTGAGGACCAGGATGTTGACAGCTGTGCCATACAGATTGCAAAATAGTTGTGAAGAGATTTCTGATGTACAGATTCCATGGTACAAGGTGTATGAGTTGATATATAAAACAACGCAAGATTCAAGACTTTGTGCTTTTCAGGTAAAATTATTGTACAGAATTCTTGCCACCACAAAATGTTGAATATTTGGGGCATACAATCATCACAGCTCTGCAGATTTTGTGGTGAGGATACAGAATCAATAGACCATTTGTTTTGGTATTGCCCTCAGGTAGCTGTTTCTGGTCTCAGTTTCAGGAATGGCTGAAAATACATAACATTGATCTAAAAAGACCGTATAAATAGTATTGTTGAGAGATCTGGAGAGACCTGGTCAGTCAATTACTAATATAGTAAAAATATTTATCTTCAACTCGCAATCTGTGGATTCTATTCGATTAGATAGATTCAAATTGTATGTTAAACATCACAGCATAGTTGAAAGATATATGGTGCGTAGAAATCCGAAGAGGGTGGCCAGCAGAGACAGGAGGGATGGGCTGAGGGAAGCTGAGGGTTGGGATATGGAATTGGAGAAAAGTGGGAGTGGAGTTGCTTGGTAGGGGATAGAATGAAAGTCAAAGATAAAAGTCAAAAAATAAAGTCCAAATAAAACAAAACAAAAGTATGTTTGAATGACACTGAGGGGCAGTGTTACAGCTAATACCTGTTTGCCTGAGGCTGATGCCGTGCAGGTGTTTGTACACATGCATATACACACACTCTCACTCAAATGCACATACATCGGACGGTTGAGTGGCAGCTCTTAGGTGAATTGTGGGGGGGTCTTGGAGGGCTGGTGGCTTGGCGGTTGGGAGCTTGGGCCGGTTGCTGATAGGTCGCTGGTTCGGGTCCCCGTTTTTGATCTTGTGGGAGATCTATCGACGTGCCCTTGAGCAGGGCGTTGACCCTGGTTGCTTCTGTGGGTCGCTCTGGATGGGAGTCTGTTAGATGACTGAAAGCGATGTAGATGTTGAGCAGCTTCACTGCAAGTACATTGTATGTTTTAATATATTACAAAATAATAATAACATTAAAAAAAGAAGGGCACATACTGGTAGATTGGTAAAGAAAAAAGAAAAAAAGCAGACATTGAATATCCCTTGGAGCATGGTGAAGTTATTCATTACACTTTGGATGGTGTATCAATACACCCCGTCACTACAATGATACAGGTGTCCTTCCTCACTCAGTTGCCGGAGAGGAAGGAAACTGCTCAGGGATTTCACCATGAGGCCAATGGTGACTTTAAATCAGTTACAGAGTTTAATGGCTATGATAGGAGAAAGCTGAGGATGGAACAACAACATTGTAGTTACTCCACAATACTAACCTAAATGACAGAGTGAAAAGAAGGAAGCCTGTACAGAGTAAAAAATATTCCAAAACATGCATCCTGTTTGTAATAAGGCACTAAAGTAATACTGCAAAAAATGTGGCAAAGAAATTAACTTTAAGTCCTGAATGCAAAGCGGTATGTTTGGGGCAAATCCAACACAACACATCACTAAGTACCAATCTTCAGTATTTTCAAGCATGGTGGTGGCTGCATCATGTTATGGTCATGCTCGTCATCGGCAAGAACTAGGGAGTTTTTTACGATAAAAAGAAACAGAATAGAGCTAAGCACAGGCAAAATCCTGGAGGAAAACCTGGTACCGTCTGCTTTCCAACAGACACTGGGAGACATTCGCCTTTCAGCAGGACAATAACCTAAAACACAAAGCCAAATATACACTGGAGTTGATTCTAACATGTATTGACTCAGTGGTGTGAATACTTTTGTGAATGAGAGATTTCTGTATTTCATTTCAATACATTTTAAAACATTTATAAAAACATGTTTTCACTTTGTCATTATGGGGTGTTGTGTGTAGGTGGGTGTAACACAAAATAAGGAATAAGTCAAGTGGTATGAATACTTTCTGAAGGCACTGTATTTAGGGCTCCAATGGCTCATATCACAGTGCTTAATCTATTTAAACAATACTGGCATACGGCTTCTTTCTTCTTTCTCTCCATCTGTTCTCTCCTCAGCAATTTATCACATTAACAACAATTAAAAGCATAGCAGCACAAGGCATAACATAACTGCATGAAAGGCTGTGGTTGTCTTCTTGCTTTCCTGTTCCCCTGCAGGTCTTGTCTGTTGCCATCATATACTGTAGATAATATCACTCCCACTGCTGCATGTACTACTACTATTGCTAACCACAACTACACTAGGATTTTCAGTGCTATCCTCTCCAACCCCATGTCTGCCCTCTCCCTCCCCCAGCCACCGGTACTCATGTGTGAGGGAGGTAGAAAGAGTTGAACCGATGCTGATGGCCCCCTTGCTGCTGCTCTCCTCGTCCTCCAGATTGTTGTCTCTATTCAACGACCAAGTTGAGTTTCCCCCAGTTGTCTCCACTTCTCCAGAAGACGAGGTTATGTCACATTCCTCATCCCTGACATAACTGAAGCCCTCCAGGAAGACTATGTCGCTCAGCGTGACCGAACCCAACGCAGAGGTCAAGACCTCCAGAGACAATGAGGAAGAGGAAGTATAAGGAGGACACATGCGAAGGAGATGTGTCGCACTGCATGAGGCAAATGGTGGTCACTGACTGGTTTTCTGATCCACGGCGCTACCTTTAAAAAAAACCCTGAGACCAACAGAAGCATACAGTTGAAGTCGGAAGTTTACATACACCTTAGCCAAATACATTTAAACTCAGTTTTTCACAATTCCTGACATTTAATCCTAGTAAAAATTCCCTGTCTTAGGTCATTTAGGATCACCATTTTATTTTAAGAATGTGAAATGTCAGAATAATAGTAGAGAGAATGATTTATTTCAGCTTTTATTTCTTTCATCACATTCCCAGTGGGTCAGAAGTTTACATACACTCAATTAGTATTTGGTAGCATTGCCTTTAAAATGTTTCGGGTAGCCTTCCACAAGCTTCCCACAATAAGTTGGGTGAATTTTGGCCCATTCCTCCTGACAGAGCAGGTGTAACTGAGTCAGGTTTGTAGGCCTCCTTGTAGGCCTCCATTTGCGACCAAGCTTTAACTTCCTGACTGATGTCTTCAGATGTTGCTTCAATATATTCACATAATTTTCCTTCCTCATGATGCCATGTATTTTGTGAAGTGCACCAGTCCCTCCTGCAGCAAAGCACCCCCACAGCATGATGCTACCACCCCCGTGCTTCACGGTTGGGATGGTGTTCTTCGGCTTGCAAGTAACCCCCTTTTTCCTCCAAACATAACGATGGTCATTATGGCCAAACAGTTCTATTTTTGTTTCATCAGACCAGAGGACATTTCTCAAAAAAGTATGATCTTTGTCCCCATGTGCAGTTGCAAACCATAGTCTGGCTTTTTTATGGCGGTTTTGGAGCAGTGGCTTCTTCCTTGCTGAGCGGCCTTTCAGGTTATGTCGATATAGGACTCGTTTTACTGTGGATATAGATACTTTTGTACCCGTTTCCTCCAGCATCTTCACAAGGTCCTTTGCTGTTGTTCTGGGATTGATTTGCACTTTCCGCACCAAAGTACGTTCATTTCTAGGAGACAGAATGCGTCTCCTTCCTGAGCGGTATGACGGCTGTGTGGTCCCATGGTGTTTATACTTGCATACTATTTTTTGTACAGATGAACGTGGTACTTTCAGGCGTTTGGAAATTGCTCCCAAGGATGAACCAGACTTGTGGAGGTCTACAATTGTTTTTCTGAGGTCTTGGCTGATTTCTTTTGATTTTCCCATGATGTCAAGCAAAGAGGCACTGAGTTTGAAGGTAGGCCTTGAAATACATCCACAGGTACACCTCCAATTGACTCAAATTATGTAAATTAGCCAATCAGAAGCTTCTAAAGCCATGACATCATTTTTCTGAATTTTCCAAGCTGTTTAAAGGCACAGTCAACTTAGTGTATGTAAACTTCTGACCCACTGGAATTGTGATACAGTGAATTATAAGTGAAATAATCTGACTGTAAACAATTGTTGAAAAAATTACTTGTGTCATGCACAAAGTAGATGTCCTAACCGATTTGCCAAAACTATAGTTTGTTAAGAAGAAAGTTGTGGAGTGGTTGAAAAACAAGTTTTAATGACTCCAACCTAAGTGTATGTAAACTTCCGACTTCAACTGTATCTGTATTCCAAGTCATATGAAATTAGGGCCTAATTTATTTATTTTAACTGACTGATTTCATTATATGAACTGTAACTCAGTAAAATCTTTGAAATTGTTCCATGTTGCGTTTATATTTTTGTTCAGTGTATTATTTATTGACATTATAAGTACAGCAATGCGCACGATAATTCAATTAGCGGGAAAACACCACTGTCAAAAGCGCTCCGCACATGCGAGCGGTTTCATGTGACGGATATCATGTGACCAAGATGAAAATATCCTTTAGAAAATTTGAAAGAGGTGAGATCTAATATGCAAAAACTAGCATGGGTTGCTAATATGACTAGGATTGTGCCTTTGGCTCCGGGGCCTCCTGAGTGGTGCAGAGGTCTAAGGCACTGCATCGCATTGCTAGAGGCGTCACTACAGATCCAGGTTCGATCCCGGGCTGTGTCGCAGCCGGCTGCAACCGGGAGACCCATGATGCGGTGCATAATTGGCCCAGCATCGTCCGGGTTAGGGGAGGGTTTGGCCGGGTGGGATGTCCTTGTCCCATTGCGCTTTAGCGACTCCTTGTGGCGGTCGGCCGCATGTACGCTGACTTCGGTCGCCAGCTGTACGGTGTTTCCTCCGACACATTGGTGCGACTGGCTTCCGGGTTAAGCGGGCAGTGTGTCAAGAAGCAGTGCCAGAGGACGCATGGCTCTCGACCTTTGCCTCTCCCGAGTCCGTACGGGAGTTGTAATGATGGGACAAGACTAACTACCAATTGGATATCACGAAATTGGGGAAAAAAAGGGGTAAAAAGTACCAAAAGATAAGTAAATAAATAATTGCCTCCACAGATATGGTCTGATTTTGACTAGGTTACTTTGAAGCGAAGTAAGACATGCCTCATAATATGTTGTAAAACGTTCAGGTTTCAAACAATTAAGTATATGTTTTCAAAATGCATACTGCCTCCAGCTCATTCCAAAGTGGTGTGTGATGCGCTGATGAAACCTGCCTTCCATTGTCTATATATTTGCTGTTTGAGATGCTGTAGATCCGGGGTCGTCCCTGTTGCCCCTACCGTTACCATTATCCTGGTTAGGCACAGCATGGCCAAGACTCACCAGCTCCTCTCCTAGATCCACAGTCTGACAGAGAGAGAACAAGAGACCAGTCAGACACACAAAGGGGGATGTCACGGAAAGAGACAAATGACAATGCATTCCCCAGGGAGAAAAATAAAATAAATATTTAAAAAAATTAAAAAAACATATTGTAAAGTGGTTATCCCACTGGCTATAAGGTGAATGCACCAATTTGTAAGTCGCTCTGGATAAGAGCATCTGCTAAATGACGTAAATGTAAATGTAAAATGTAAATGAGAGAGAAAGCGATAACACACACAGGGAGAGAGACTGGGCCTGTAAGACCCTGAAAGTGAGAGGGATGGAGAGAGAGAGTGTGTGAGTGAATGAGATAGAGTAAGAGATAGGCGAGACATACAGTGCCATTTTCCACCCCAGTCCAGTTTAGTACTGACCTTGCCCTCTGTGTTGTCGTAGAGCTGTACACTGGGCCAGGAGAGCTCAGAGTGGGTGTAGCTGCACAGTTTGACCAGAAGGGGTCTCTACTCGGCAACGTACGTCAGGCAGTCAAAGTCATCCAGCGCTTCCTCGCTCCACACCTCGCCTGCTGGGTTAACTCCAGCTAAGCTGCACTCGATGGCCTGGAATGGTAGGCTGAGGAAGTAATTCCTTAAAGGGGCATGAGAGAAGACAAGACCATTGGCCAAATAGCTAACAGCTATTAGAGTAACAGCTTTCATCTATTATTTATTACTTTCGCAATACAACAAAGAGTGCTGGAATTTATTGTCCAGCTCTTTCTTGGAAACAAAATTATTTATTTCTGAGCCCTAACCTCATAACCCTGACTTCTCACCTCATACTTCGTAGACTGTCCCTGGGTAGTTCTATATTGTCTGCAAAGTCGACATAGTCGAGGTCCACCAAGCCAGAGCCCATCACCCCCAGGACCCTCGCCTGTTCCAGTTGCCATAGTCCCGGTAAGGAGCAGCCACAATGTCCCCCACCATAATGGTCTCCACTCGCTGCTCCTGGAGATGTCACACACAGGGCTCAACACTACAGTTCAACACTATAGAAACATATTGTATAAAAAAAGACATGTTTCTCTGTAATGTAGAATAAAATAATAGTGTCAGCTCTGGACACTGTTCTATTTTTGTGGTTCATTGAAGGTGGAATCTAGGAAGTAATGCTCATTAGGGCACACAACGGAAAACATTTAGTAACATACAACATGTAGCAACAGAAAACATTTAGCAACAGAAAACAAAAATGAGTGCTTTTATTGGAAAATACCAAATAGTCCCACCCTGCTTCAATCCATTTGTCTGTTTGGTGTCTAAAGAACGCAAGCAATGTATGACTGACCTGCAGGGTTCCGTTGCTGTAGAATCGGCTCATCTCGGCAGAAAGTTTGTCCAGCCCCAGAATCTGGATCCAGAAGTGGTGGGGGTTCTCTGACGCTGACACATACACTTGCAGGTGCCCATCTGGCTGGAATCTCAGGTCTGGACTGGGAACTGGACAGGACAAGAGAAAGGGAGATATATTTGAGAGAAAATATCAACATGCACACCATTGCATTGTCCCTCTATGTGGTGCAGGGAATAGGAAAACTAATTCCGTAGTCAATGATTTTTGACTAAGTTTGTAGTATCAATGAGAGCGCACTTGTATTAATCTCAGTATTGTACAGTCAATTTCAAATGGGTAACTATTCAAAAAGCCACATTTTCAAAACTTCCAAACTTACTTTCGAATTTGAAAACCTCTGATAGTGAGTCAGGTGAGACGATTTCATCCTCCTCCATCTCCTCCTCTCGTGCCTCTCTAGCCAGCTGTACCTCCTCTCCTGCTGCCTGGGCAGAGGTTCCGTTAGCCTGGACCAGCCCCTCTTCCTTCACGCTGAAAGATTGTGGAGCCTCCTCCGGCTTCAGCTCCTGTCTGGGTTTGATCTCAGTTACCACTGAACTTTGTAGTAACAGAGTAAGGTCCACACACCCAGATGCTCTAATACATACAGTTGGTTCCGAAATTATTGACACAATTGATAAATATGAACAATAATGACTTATTATTATTGACACCCCTAAAGATTCTTATAAATAAAGTAGTACAACATTTTGTATTTGGTCCCATATTCCTAGCACGCAATGGCTACATCAAGCTTGTGACTCTACAAATTTACGGATAATCCTGAAAAATGATGAATGAGAAAGTTACAGAGGGTCAATGATCATACTCCCAAGACATGCTAACCTCCCCTGTTATTGCCAATGGTGAGACATTAGCATGTCTTGGGGGTATGATCTTTTTTTTTAGTCATTTAGCAGACGCTCTTACCCAGAGCGACTTACAGGAGCAATTAGAGTTAAGTGCCTTGCTCTAGGGCAGCCAGGCATTTCTATTGGGCACAAAATAATCTAAAACACAACCAAAAGAAACTGCAAATGCATCCAACAAGTTTGTAGAGTCACAAGCTTGATGTAGTCATTGTGTGCTAGGAATATGAGACCAAATACTAAACTTTTGACAACTTTATTTATAAGAATATTTTTTTTTTTAAGGTTACGTGGTAAACAACATCTCTTTCTCTGAGCAATTGTATTAGTATAAAACAATAGTCTTCACAGTGCTTCATTTGTAAATCTGGAGGTGCCGGAACAAAAAGTGAGCGCGAGAGGGGGGTGACCTGGGGAGCTCTGAGGTACCGGAATGCATAAACAAATAAAAATAAATAACCTTTATAATAAAGCATTGCATGCATATCATCACATTTGCGTAGTGGCATAGAGCAGTAGAGGCACTTACAGAAGTTGCATACATGGAAAATAATTTTTGGGGCCTAGGGTCCGGAATATTTTGGGCCTTTTATAAACGCATTTCATGCAATTCTACGTCATTTTACATGACTGGAGACTTTGGAATAATATTTTTTAATGCCAAGTTCAAAACAACTGGGAACTCCAAGCTGGGAAATCTCAGACTTCCGACTTCAGTGCGTTCAAGACAACTAGGAAATCGGGAACAAACTAGTTCCGACTTGGAAAATAAGTTTTGAACTGTCATCCAACTCGGAATTCCAAATGGGGAACTCTGGCCTCTATCTAAAGCTCCGTCTTTCCAACCTGAAGTTCACTGACGTCATGATTCTACCTAGTTCTTTTCAGAGTTCCCAGTTGTCTTGAAAGCACCATCATACCGCACAAATGACCGAAATGACACGCTACTTTGACACTGACAAACTGAGAATCTGAGAACAATGAAAACGACCTTGTCTTGAATCCATCAATAGCCTAGACCTAGGTGTGTGGAGACATATTGTAAGCTACAATATGATGAGGAATTATAGTCCTAAAAATGCTTTCCAGTTTGACTGACTCACCCACTCACTGGTGATGGCCTATGCACTCGTGCCAAAAGCCTCTCTCTCTTGTTTTACTTTGTAAAACAATATTTGGAAATCAAATATTTTGGTAGCCTACAGCTGACAGATTAGAGTATTCTCTTTTCAGCAGGAGCAATTTGCTTTCCAACCTGTGTTTTCCCGCAATTGTAGGCTATTTGAAATATTGCGATAGGCCAGTTTTGTCTGCATGCTGTTTGTTCACTGACAGATTTGCAGCGCGTTCCTGACTGTAGGCTTTGCCTTGTTATTGGGATACACTCCACAGCAAGGTTATTTTTAAAAGAAGCTATTTATCCTCTGTGGCAACATTTTAGGCTTTCTCATGGTGTAGTAGGCTATTCTGAATTATTTAATATATCTCTGAACAGACAGCAGTAACTATATAACTTTGGCAAATGTATTTCAATTTATCAGGCGTGCTGCAGCTCCTCCAGAACCCAGATCCTGGTCTTCAACCTTTTCTTGCCCAGGGACCCCGTCCCAGGCAAACCGGCAACCCAGAGACCCCCATCATACGTTAGCAAAACAAACGTCTTGTCTTATTTTGTGTGTTTTCTTGCGCTGATCTTAATTTATTCTGTACATAATGTTTCCGCCATCGTTTCCTATGACTGAAAAGAGCTTCTGGACATCAGAACAGCGTTCACTAACCTCGATTTGGATGAAGAATTCTACTTCAATGACTCGGCCGCGCAGGAATACTGCTCACTCAGGACCAGGCCCTAATCCCCGAACACTCAGAATAGGAAAAGACGACGATATAGAGGCCGACGTGGGGGCGAGAGAATATACCGCCTCTACCCTCTGTTCTATTGGCGAATGTACAATCACTGGAAACCAAACTAGACGAGCTCTGTTCAAGACTATCCTGTCAACGGAATCTGAAGAACTGTAATATCCTATACTACACAGAGTCATGGCTGAATGAGGACATGGTTCAAATAAGTCTAGCTGTTTTTTCAACGCTTCGGCAGGACAGAACGGCAGCGTCTTGTAAACTCAAGGGCGGGGGTGTGCGTGTCTTTGTTAACAACAGCTGGTGCACAATCTCTAATATTAAGGAAGTCTCTAGCTTCTGCTAGCTTGAGTTAGAATACCTCATGATACGCTGTAGATCATAGCATTTACCAAGAGTTTATCTATATTTTTCATAGCCAAATGTTATTTGTCACATACACGTGTTTCGCAAAATGCTTGTGTTTCTAGCTCCGACAGTGCAGTAATATCTAACAAGTAATATCTAACAATTTCACAACATATACCCAATACACACAAATCTAGTAAGGAATGGAATTTAAGAATATATACAGTGAGGGAAAAAATGTTTGATCCCCTGCTGATTTTGTACGTTTGCCCGCTGACAAAGACATGATCAGTCTATAATTTCAATGGTAGGTTTATTTGAACAGTGAGAGACAAAATAACAACAAAGAAATCCAGAAAAACGCATGTCAAAAATGTTATAAATTGATTAGCATTTTAATGAGGGAAATAAGTATTTGACCCCTCTGCAAAACATGACTTAGTACTTGGTGGCAAAACCCTTGTTGGCAATCACAGAGGTCAGACGTTTCTTGTAGTTGGCCACCAGGTTTGCACACATCTCAGGAGGGATTTTGTTCCACTCCTCTTTGCAGATCTTCTCCAAGTCATTAAGGTTTCGAGGCTGACGTTTGGCAACACAAACCTTCAGCTCCCTCCACAGATTTTCGATGGGATTAAGGTCTGGAGACTGGCTAGGCCACTCCAGGACCTTAATGTGCTTCTTCTTGAGCCACTCCTTTGTTGCCTTGGCCGTGTGTTTTGGGTCATTGTCATGCTGGAATACCCATCCACGACCCATTTTCAATGCCATGGCTGAGGGAAGGAGGTTCTCACCCAAGATTTGATGGTACATGGCCCCGTTCATCGTCCCTTTGATGCGGTGAAGTTGTCCTGTCCCCTTAGCAGAAAAATACCCCCAAAGCATAATGTTTCCACCTCCATGTTTGACGGTGGGGATGGTGTTCTTGGGGTCATAGGCAGCATTCCTCCTCCTCCAAACACGGCGAGTTGAGTTGATGCCAAAGAGCTCGATTTTGGTCTCATCTGACCACAACACTGTCACCCAGTTCTCCTCTGAATCATTCAGATGTTCATTGGAAAACTTCAGACGGCCCTGTATATGTGCTTTCTTGAGCAGGGGGACCTTGCGGGCGCTGCAGGATTTCAGTCCTTCACGGCGTAGTGTGTTACCAATTGTTTTCTTGGTGACTATGGTCCCAGCTGCCTTGAGATCATTGACAAGATCCTCCCGTGTAGTTCTGGGCTGATTCCATTTGCGAATAATCGCACCAACTGTTGTCACCTTCTCACCAAGCTGCTTGGCGATGGTCTTGTAGCCAATTCCAGCCTTGTGTAGGTCTACAATCTTGTCCCTGACATCCTTGGAGAGCTCTTTGGTCTTGGCCATGGTGGAGAGTTTGGAATCTGATTGATTGATTGCTTCTGTGGACAGATGTCTTTATACAGGTAACAAGCTGATATTAGAAGCATTCCCTTTAAGAGTGTGCTCCTAATCTCAGCTCGTTACCTGTATAAAAAAACCTGGGAGCCAGAAATCTTTCTGATTGAGAGGGGGTCAAACACTTATTTCCCTCATTAAAAAGCAAATCAATTTATAACATTTTTGACATGCGTTTTTCTGGATTTTTTTGTTGTTATTCTGTCTCTCACTGTTCAAATAAACCTGCCATTAAATTTATAGACTGATCATTTCTTTGTCAGTTCGCAAACGTACAAAATCAGCACGGGATCAAATACTTTTTTACCTCACTGTACATATATTTTACATTTTAGTCATTTAGCAGACGCTCTTATCCAGAGCGACTTACAGTTAGTGAATACATATATATATATTTTTTTTTTATACTGGCCCCCCGTGGGAATCAAACCCACAACCCTGGGATAGGACATATATGGACAAGCAATGACAGAGCGGCATGGACTAAGATACAGTAGAATATTATAGAATAGAATACAGTATATACATATGTGATGAGTAGTGCATGATATGTAAACATTATTAAAGTGACTAGTGTTCCATTTCCTAAAGTGACAAGCAATTTCAATAGGCAGCAGCAGCCTCTAATGTGCTAGTGATGGCTATTTAACAGTCTGATGGCCTTGAAATAGAAGCTGCTTTTCATTCTCTCTGTCCCAGCTTTGATGCACCTGTACTGACCTCGCCTTCTGGATGATAGCGGGATGAACAGGCAGTGGCTCGGGTGGTTGATGTCCTTGATGATCTTATTGGCCTTCCTGTGACATCGGGTGCTGTAGGTGTCTTGGAGGGCGAGTAGTTTGCCCCCGGTAATGCGTTCAGCAGACCGCACCACCCTCTGGAGAGCCCTGCGCTTGCGGGCGTTGCAGTTGCCGTACCAGGTGGTGATACATCCCGACAGGATGCTCTCAATTGTGCATCTGTAAAAGTTTTTTAGGTGCCAAGCCAAATTTCTTCAACCTCCTGAGGTTGAAGAGGCTCTGTTGCTCCTTCTTTATCACACTGTCTGCGTGGGTGGACCATTTCAGTTTGTCAGTGATGTGTACGCCAAGGAACTTGAAGCTTTCCACCTTCTCCACTGCGGTTCCGTCGATGTGGATAGAGGGGTGCACCCTCAGCTGTTTCCTGAAGTCCACGATCATCTCTTTTGTTTTGTTGACGTTGAGTGAGAGGTTATTTTCCTGGCACCACACTCCCAGAGCCCTCACCTCCTCCTTGTAGGCGGTCTCGTCATTGTTGGTAATCAAGCCTACTACTGTTGTGTCGTCTGCAAACTTGATGATTGAGTTGGAGGCGTGCTTGGCCATGCAGTCATGGGTGAACAGGGAGTACAGGAGGGGGCTGAGCACGCACCCTTGTGGGGCCCCAGTGTTGAGGATCAGCGAAGTGGAGATGTTGTTTCCTACCTTCACCACCTGGGGGCGGCCCGTCAGGAAGTCCAGGACCCAGTTGCATAGGGCGGGGTTCAGACCCAGGACCTTGAGCTTACTTTGGTGTTGAATGCTGAGCTATAGTCAATGAACAGCATTCTTACATAGGTATTCCTCTTGTCCAGATGGGATAGGGCAGCGTGCCGTGTGATGGCGATTGTATCGTCTGTGGATCTATTGGGGCGGTAAGCAAATTGAAGTGGGTCTAGGGTGACAGGTAAGGTAGAGGTGATATGATCCTTGACTAGTCTCTCAAAGCACTTCATGATGACAGAAGTGAGTGCTACGGGGCGATAGTCATTTAGTTCAGTTACCTTTGCTTTCTTGGCTACAGGAACAATGGTGGCCATCTTGAAGCATGTGGCGACAGCAGACTGGGAAAGGGAGATATTGAATATGTCCGTAAAAACACCAGCTGGGTCTGCGCATTCTCTGAGGACGCGGCTAGGGATGCCGTCTGGGCCGGCAGCCTTGCGGGGGTTAACATGCTTAAATGTCTAACTCATGTCGGCCACGGAGAAGGAGAGGCCTCAGTCCTTGGTAGTGGGCCTCGTCGGTGGCACTGTGTTATCCTCAAAGTGGGCGAAGAAGGTGTTTAGCTTGTCTGGAAGCGAGATGTCGGTGTCGGCGACGTGGCTGGTTTTCCTTTTGTAGTCCATGATTGTCTGTAAACCCTGCCACATACGTCTCGTATCTGAGCCATTGAATTGCGACTCCACTTTGTCTCTATACTGATGTTTTGCCAGTTTAATTGCCTTGCGGAGTGAGTAGCTACACTGTTTGTATTCTGCCATATTCCCAGTCACCTTGGTTAAATGCGGTGGTTCGCACTTTCAGTTTTGCGCGAATGCTGCCATCTATCCAGTTTCTGGTTAGGGTAGGTTTTAAAAGTCACAGTGGGCACAACATCACCTATACACTTCCTGATAAACTCAGTCCCCGTTTTAGTGTATTCGTCTAAATTATTTTCGCAAGCTAAACCGGAACATATCCCAGTCCGGGTGATCAAAACAATCTTGAAGCGTGGATTCCGATTGGTCAGACCAGCGTTGAATAGTCCTTAGCACGGGTACTTCCTGATTGAGTTTCTGCCTATAGGAAGGGAGGAGCAAAATGGAGTCGTGGTCAGATTTGCCGAAAGGAGGGCAGGGGAGGGCCTTATAACCATCCCGGAAGTTTGAATAGCAATGGTCAAGGATTTTAGCAGTGCGAGTACAACAGTCGATATGTTGATAGAACTTTGGCAGCCTAGTCCTCAAATTTGCTTTGTTAAAATCCCCGGCTACAATAAATGCAGCCTCAGGATATGTTGTTTCCAGTTTGCATAAAGTCCAGTGAAGTTCTTTGAGGGCCGTCGTGGTATCGGCTTGAGGGGGGATATACACGGCCGTGACTATAACCGAAGAAAAATCTCTTGGGAGATAATATGGTCGGCATTTGATTGTGAGGTATTCTAGGTCGGGTGAACAAAAGGACTTGAGTTCCTGTATGTTACTACAATTACACCATGAGTCGTTAATCATGAAACACACACCTCCGCCCTTCTGCTTCCCGGAGAGATATATATTCCTGTCTGCGCGATGAACTGAGAACCCATCTGGCTGGACCGGTTTTGACAGAATATCCCCAGAGAGCCATGTTTCCGTGAAACAAAGTATGTTACAGGCCTTGATGTCTCTCTGGAAAGAAATCCTTGTCCGGAGCTCATCGACCTTGTTAACCAGAGACTGAACATTAGCGAGTAGTATACTTAGAAGAGGTGGGTGGTGTGCGCGCCTCCTAAGTCGAACAGCAGGCCGCTCCAAGTGCCTCTCCTCCACTGGCGATGTTTTAGGTCAGCCGCTGGAATCAGTTCAATTGCCCTGGGGAGAGCAAACAAAGGATCTGCTTCGGGAAATGCGTATTCCTGGTCGTAATGCTGGTGAGTTACCGCTGCTCTGATATCCAATAGTTTTTCCTGGCTGTATGTAATGATACAAAACACTTTCTGAGCTAATAATGTAAAGAATAATACATTTTTTTTTAATACCGCAAAGTTTCCTAAGAGCTAGTCGCGAGGCCACCATCTTCGTCAGCACCAGGATCAACCTGACATTTTCAACCTCTCCCTGACCAAGTCTGTAATACCTACCTGTTTCAAGCAGACCACCATAGTCCCTGTGCCCAGAAAAGCCAAGGTAATCTGTTAAATTACTATAGCCCCGTAGCACTCACATCTGTAGCCACAAAATGTTTTGAAAGGCTGGTCATGGCTCATATCAACACCATCATCCCAGATACCCTGGATCCAATTTGCATATCGCCCCAACAGATCCACAGATGACGCAGTCTCTTTTGCCCTCCACACTGCCCTTTCCCACTTGGACAAAAGGAACACCTACATGAGAATGCTGTTCATTGAGTACAGCTCAGCGTTCAACAAAAGTATGCCCTCGAAGCTCATCACTAAGCTAAGGTCCCTGGGACTGAACACCTCCCTCTGCAACTTAATCCTGGACTTCCTGATGGGCCGCCCCCAGGTGTTGAGGGTAGGCAACAACACATCCGCCACGCTGACCCTCAACACGGGGGCCCCTCAGGGATGCGTGCTTAGTCACCTCATGTACTCCATGTTCACCCACGACTGCGTGGCCGCACAAAGTTTGTCGACGACACGACAGTGGTAGGCCTGATCACTGACGACTATGACACAGCCTATAGGGAGGTGGTCAGAGACCTGGCAGTGTGGTGCCAGGACAACAACCTCTCCCTCAATGTCAGTAAGACAAAGGAGCTGATCGTGGGCTACAGGAAACCGATTTGCCGAGCACGCCCCCATTCACACCGACGGGCTGTAGTAGAGCATATCGAGAGCTTCAGGTTCCTCGGTGTCCACATCACTAATGATCTATCATGGCCCAAACACACCAACACAGTCGTGAAGAGGGCATGACATCGCCTCTTCCCCTCAGGAGGCTGAAAAGATTTGGCATGGGCCCTCATATCCTCAAAAAGGTATACAGCTGCACCATCGAGAGCATCTTCACTGGCTGCATCAACGCTTGGTACGGTAACTGCTTGGCATCCAATCGCAAGGCGCTACAGAGGGTAGTGCGTACTGCCCAGTACATCACTAGGGCCGAGCTCCCTGCCATCCAGGACCTCTATAGCAGGCGGTGTCAGAGGTAGGCCCAATAAATTGTCAAAGACTCCAGCGACCCAAGCCACAGACTGTTCTCTCTGCTACCGCACAGCAAGCGGTACTAGTTCACCAAGTCTGGACCAACAAGACCCTGAACAGCTTCTACCCCCAAGCCATAAGACTTCTAAACAAGACTGCTAAATAGAAAACACTTAGACACACTACATAAGCCTACACACACACACACACACACACTACTGTCTATTATCTATCCTGTTGCCTACTCACTTTACCCCTACCTGTATGTACAGTGCATAGCTATCTCAATTACCTCGTACCCCAGCACATCGACTCGGTACTGGTACTACCTTTATATAGCCATGTTCTTTTCTACTCCCTATATATAGCCATGTTATTTTTTATCTTTATTTGGATTAGTTATTCACTCTTTATACAATGGGTGGCAATTAAACAATGGATGGGTCTTTTTGATGTGACTGTAAGTCAGCCATAGTTAGCTAGCTAGCAAGCAAGGGATAAGAACGTTGCCAGCCAGTATGGCAATGGAACATTTAGAACAAACGACTGGATCACGTCTCTAGCAACTGAACCGACAGAATGAACGACCAGCCGGCTTGGGCAACCCTAGATTTGTGTCGGGACTATATCTTGTGGAAGGATTAAATAGTATGGATAAATTCATCAAAATAACATTTTTAATGAAAATATGTCAATCATTATTTGAATATGTTGGTAACCCATTGTATAAAAGTGATAATGCCCTCGAAGCCGATGTTTGGAGGATATATTGGCACCCGGCTTCTCGGGCATTATCACTTAAGTATTTATTCCTTGTGTCACTATTTCTATTCTTTATATCTTATCTTTAACTCTGCATTGGAAATGGACCCGTAAGTAAGCATTTCACTGTTAGTCTACACCTGTTGTCTACTTAGCATTTGACAAATAAAAATGTGATTTGATCATCAGGTGAATGATAATGGCAAGGAAGTAATCAACATTTTAAAATGAATAGATTTGGTTTTTCATTATTTTGACCTCCCCACATTATAATTGGAAGACGAAGTGTAAACTCTAACATAGCCTATTAGCTAGAAAGGTGACTCCAAACACATTTCCGCTAAGAGCAGCTGTTTAGCTGGTTAAACAGCATATGTCAGATACTGAAATGAGTGTAATTTGCTCAATATTAGGAGTTGAGAAATAAAGTTGACATCATCAGAAAGAAGATATTCTCCTCTTTTCTACTGTATGTAATTCACTTTTTATATATATTTTCGCGGACCCCCTGCAGTACCTCTGCAGACCCCCGGTTGAATACCCCTGGTATAAAATAATATATTTCCCCATTTTTGTTGCATACAATATAGCTCCGTATTTGTATTATTTATTTTCATACGGTCATTATTGCTCATCTTTATCAAGGGTGTCAATCATTTCGGACCCAACTGTACCTATATTGGTTAACAGTTAAAGGCATGTGTTTGAGCATCTGAGTGTATTGGCCACTACTTGACTACTATTACAGGATTTCTGCAGCCAAGAAAAGGGATGTGTTTGACCTTTTTGTTTACCTCTGGACTTTGACCTTGGGGCTCGAAGGGTCGTCGTTTCTGGCGCAGTGCGGAGGACTGGGTAATCCTCCTTCTCACAGTATCGTACTTGAATACCTTCTACATGATCAGCTCCTATAGGAAGAATAAACAAAGTATTGTTTTAAAGAGTATTAAGTTAAGTACATGAGTAAAGGTACACCAGTAAGGCAGATCATAGCTGGTTATAACACTGCAGCAGATAAGTATTCTTGCCCTCACCTTGGCCTGTCTGACCTCCATTCTCATCCCTGTGATTGACACCTTGCCCTTCTCCTCTAGGCCCCGCCCAATCTCCCTGGGACAGATTATTCTGGCTCCTGTTGTCCTGGTGATGAGCTTCAGAGACTCTCCTCCACGACCTGAAGCACACAGCAGTATAATTCATCCATCATCATTCATATGATTTATATTTATCAAAAGGCGAGAAATGGAACATAAGTATTTTGAAACTACACAACAAAGTCCTTTTATGGACTGATAGGAAGATAATCCTCTCTCGTTACCTATGATGTGTCGGAAAGCGGTCTGGGGCACCTCCATGACGTCAGTGGTGGTCTCACAGTCTGTGGCCAGGTTCACCAGAGCACACCTGGCCAGCAGCACCTGCTGTGGTGAGCCCTGCAGAAGGAAACAGCTGACAGCAACCTCACGTGGGCAACGGACTTTTGGACCTGGATGGAGAGAGAAAGAGGGAGGGAGAGGGACAGGTGAAATTGAGAAAAGAGGAGATAAGAACAAAAACAATCCTCCACACCCATGTTCCACACAAAGCCTGACAATATGATGAAATAGTAAGAGAAGAGGTAGTAGGACATTGACCAGGTCCACGAAGGAGGCTTGGTACTTGTCAATGTTCCTGTACATCTCCAGAGGTACCGACATCCTGGACTCTTCGGTGTTGGCCAGCAGAGGAGCTACAAATAACAGACAGACACCACTTCAGATAGCCCACAATCCCTCCCTATTACAGTATAGATTATGAAACCACCTGTATCTAGTATGAATGAGACAGAGGAGACTAACGGCTGGTGCTTTTGATTTGTCAGTAGACAATGTATCCCACCATCACTCCTACACACAGCCCTGCTGCCAGAGCCACCATCTTCCCAGAGCTCAGGGTGCTCTTAGGCCCCTCTCTAACCGCCTCATCACACGCTGTGTGCCCAGGGGGAGACTCAACCTACACAAGGGAAGTTACATCAGACACCACCTAGACAAGTAGAACACCTCATAATTCAGACTCTACCTAGACAGGCAGAGCACAAAACAACATCAGACTCCACCTGAAAACGTAAAACACAGGTGGACACTCGTTGGATCTCCTGACAGAGGCACCCATTCCTACATGACACATTTGCTGTTGGAAACTGCACAACCTGAAAGTGCCATAGAGGCCATGCAGTGAAAATGTGAGCGCACAAGCCAGTAGATAGGCTAGATCAATTTTCAATCAATTTTATTTTATATAGCCCTTCTTACATCAGCTAATATCTCGAAGTGCTGTACAGAAACCCAGCCTAAAACCCCAAACAGCTAGTAATGCAGGTGTAGAAGCACGGTGGCTAGGAAAAACTCCCTAGAAAGGCGAAAACCTAGGAAGAAACCTAGAGAGGAACCAGGCTATGAGGGGTGGCCAGTCCTCTTCTGGCTGTGCCGGGTGAAGATTATAACAGAACCATGCCAAGATGTTCAAAAATGTTCATAAGTGACAAGCATGGTCAAATAATAATCAGGAATAAATCTCAGTTGGCTTTTCATAGCCGATCATTAAGAGTTGAAAACAGCAGGTCTGGGACAGGTAGGGGTTCCATAACCGCAGGCAGAACAGTTGAAACTGGAATAGCAGCAAGGCCAGGCGGACTGGGGACAGCAAGGAGTCACCACGGCCGGTAGTCCCGACGTATGGTCCTAGGGCTCAGGTCTCTCAGTTGGCTTTTCATAGCCGATCATTAAGAGTTGATCGGCTATGAAAATGATTCTTATCGTTTAGATGATTCTTATCGTTTAAATTAGTTAAATGAGTTGTTCTTCCAAAGCAAGAGGCCAGGGAATAACACAATTTTCCTCACCGTCTACACCTTCTAGAGAGGAATGTGAAGCTATGGCCCCACTAATCTGATCCCTGATGTGGGATACTGCATTCTTTCAGATCAAACCAACACACGCAATAGTAGCCTATGTGATTAGCCGCTGAGCACTAACACACACGCAAAGCACTGTTCAGCCTAGCACAGAGCATAACTGCCTTGCCCTCAGCAAAGAGTGGGGCTGCAAAGAGAACCTAGCATAGATGTGCTGTTAGCTGCGCAACAACAAACACCACAGTTGGGCCAGCTCCAGTCCTGCCATTAGAAGAATACATAGGGCCTGAAACACTATAAAGATAAATATGTCTGTGATTTCTTTCTAACCTTCATAACTGGTCCAGGTCCTGGAATCTTATGGCTTTTGCTGCTTATGATGGAATAGGAGAGGACATGGGAGGAGACTATACTGCCCAATCCTAGGCACCTGTAGAACTTAAAGGATTTGGATTTGACTTGGTTTGAGATGGGGCATACGTAACCCAACAGTGTGGTGTATTATCCCCACTCAGGCCTTAGGCAGCTATAGTGGTCACACCATGCAGACTGAGACATGTGTCGGTGTCACTGTGACAGGATGGCCGCCACGGGGGCTGTAGTTGAGAAACACCTGGGACTGAGAGATCCCCAGGTTCCCCACATCCATCTTGGAAAACCAAACAATGTCACTCTAGTTTTAGTCTCTTAAGTTCGCCAACCAGGAGAATTGGCAAAATGGTAGAGGTTATCAGTGAGTGGCTCATTTTAGAGCAAATTAAAGTATGGATTTGGTACCGTCTAGAGACCTATGGTAGACACTGGCTTGCAACTGTGGAAAGGACATGTCACAAAGTTAGATCATACACTGATGTTAAACTGAACCATTGGTTGAAATTTGGCTGACTGTCAGTGCCCCTGCTGTTTGCAGGTAGCTAATAAGCTAGCCCATTCATAGACGCTAACTACCTTTAACGCCTATTGATGATAGTATCTTCTGGCCGGGGGAGTTTTGTTAAGAGCCCCGACGCTTGCTCTAAACTTTAACATGCATCGCTTGAGATACGGTTTTGGAAACATAAGGAATGTATCTTTCATATCAGCGAGAAATAATTTTCAAAAAACTAAAGGTTAAATTACTACACACATTTATAGGGTTCCCACACAGCCATATTTCCATGTTACAGCACTTGTTTACAGAAAACAGACGGAAGACAGAGTCGAACACCTGTGCAAATTAGCTATCTGCGACTCCAAACACCTGTGTGTAAACAGAAGAAGGATACCACAAACGTGTTGTCACTGAAAAATACTTTTGGCTGCAACTGTGTTAAAACCAGTTAAAACAGTAAGTATATTTTGCATTTGTGAAATAATTCTTATGTGATCTAAAGGTAGAGGGCTTTATGTTTCTAGAACCGTACTGCAATTAAGAATCGATTAACGCTTAGATTGAGTTTTTTGCTGCCACAGCCAATTCACCTCTAAACAGAACATGTAAGGTCCTTGGACTGACTGTAAGGAGTAAATTAAATTATGTTAACGTTAGGCTCCTTTAGTCCATTATTGGGCTACTGACAAGCTAGGTGCTTTTAGCAACGCGGGTGTACTTACATACAGTAGCATTGCTTTCAATTGTATTGGGTGGCACAAAAACAGTATGGGAAGCCAGAAGTTCAACACAATTCCATTTAAACTTACTGTGCCGGTAGGCAGGAAGATCATTATGACGGGTGCAATTTGAGGCAAAATATAAAAATAACTATATTACTAAACAGACTTTCCAAATGTGGGTCTGCTGTAGACCCACTTCCTCTGTGCTTACCTCATGTCAAAATACAGTAAGTCCCCCACAAGTTATTCCTTTTTTGTCCACATATGGCACACCTGCAGGACTTTTATTACCAAGGACTGTTTTTGTGCAACCCAATACAATTGAAAGAAACGTTAGTGTACAGTGCATTCTGAAAATATTCAGACCCCTTGTTTTTTTCCACATTTTGTTACATTACAGCCTTATTTTAAAATTGATTAAATAAAAAAAATCCTCATCAATATACGCACAATACCCCATAATGACAAAGTGAAAACAGGTTTTTCGAAATGTTTGCAGAGGGTGCACCCCCCATCCACATCGACGTGACCGCAGTGGAGAAGGTGGAAAGCTTCACGTTCCTTGGAGTACACATCACTGACAAACTGAAATGGTCCACCCACGCAGACAGTGTGGTGAAGAAGGCGCAACAGAGCCTCTTCAACCTCAGGAGGCTGAAGAAATTCGGCTTGGCACCTAAAACCCTCACAAACTTTTACAGATGCACAATTGAGAGCATCCTGTCGAGCTGTATCACCACCTGGTACGGCAACTGCACCAGAGGGTGGTGCGGTCTGCCGAACGTATTATCGGGGGAAAACTACCCGCCCTCCAAGACACATATTGGCCATATACCATATCCCCTTGTGCCTTATTGCTTAATCATAGCAGTCAAACGAGTTAAATCGACATCCATTGATGGATAATGATCTGGCAAGTTTAATAAAGGAGATTTATCTTTTCTCTTGCCACATATTCAAATTCCTTTATTACGTCATGTCATAGCGTGCAATAATTATTATTTTGAGGAAACCCTAATTTTGCTTCTAACATCATTACAAGTTACTATGATATTCCTTCTTAATTGGCTCAATAACTTTATGGTAAAAGGGTCTATTGTATAAATATGGCAACTCCTCTCTTGCTGTGAACAAAAATATATTGGGCTAGTTTTCAGGCCTTTTGGGCTAGTTTTGAGTGGTCATTGGGCTAGAAATGTTAGCTTCACCTGCCAACCCTGTCTGAGACCACCATGGCATCAGCGGGGATAACACAGTCCGAATGCGCACCCACAATTCCCAACTAACGCGTCTCTGGTACACGTCCTCTATTTATTTGAATGTGTTGAAATTAGGAGAAATTGCTTGAGCTGCGCTGAGTATCGGAAGTGTGGTAGGGATGATGCATATATTTATTGGTTGCTGACTAGACAGCAATCTCGTCACGACACCGGGTAACCAGTAGCGGTGCGTAGGTAAAATCCCTCCCCCCCAAAAAAGCCATATTACAACCTATGTGTTGTGATAATTGCGTTGTTTGCTCTATAACCTGTTAATTCATATGCCTTGCGACCGTGATATATAGGCCGAGAAAATCAGAAGAAACAGTGGCAGAATAAATTCAACCACACCTTTGTTTTATCACAAAACCGGATAGCAACCTCTGTCCAGTGAAGTCCACAAAGCATATTGCATGTACAGTAACAGACAGTTACATGACCTACAGCATGGTCAAGCAAGTTAATGTTTCCGACATTTTCGGACCACTAAACAACTATTCATTTAGAACCACAGCGAGTTACCGCAAGTCGCAAAGAAAACAGGACCTGCCTCCACTATTCCAGCCCCATTTCAACTTCAACATTTCAGCATCATCAAATTACCTCTGCGTAGTCTAATACAGTGACAACTAAAAGACACCAAAAACTATTTAGTCCAGTCAACGTAAGCTAAATATGATGTGGCTGTCCATGGTTCTGATTTCTGTGTGCATGTGTGTGCGTGCAAGTAGAAAAACATGTTGACTCACCAAAGCCATCCTCCGCACTTTCATGTTGACGAAACGGTCTATCACTGTCATATAGTACACGCTTTTATTTTTTGTTGTCCTAGGCTACCTGGTGTCAAAGTCGCGTCAATTCAAATCTGGTATTAGGAACAAAAGAGGTCAACACGACTTCTAAGGTATACTAGTTATTTTAATTAATGCAAAAACCTTCAATGGTAAAT